GTGAGAGAACGTGTAAACGTCTTGCTTATTCTGCAGCGGTGCTACAGACAGCTTCAGGGTTTTTACATCTACAACTCAGTGCAGCACGACATGTAACTCTACAAAGTTAAACTTCTTGTGACATCAACAAGATATTTATCTACTTTTTCATAGCCACGTCTTTTATTGTCAGCTCAGTACACTTACATGCACAGTTAAGTTGAGCTATACGGCAAAATAACTGGATTTCATTTTAGTTTTTGAGATCAGGCAAAAATCTAATTAGTGGTAGCAGGTGGCAACATGCATCCTTTCAGTTCTTTACTATCTGGTTGTCTCCCGGTTGATCAATTACCTACCAAAATAATGTACGCCGAATGATGAAAACACTGTCACTTTTAAAGCTCTGTCCTGTTTTTTTTTTTTTTTTTATGAAAGGAAAGTTTTGTCTTTCTCACGCCCTTTCTTTATTAATCTAGGTGTTATTTACTACCCAGCCTCCTAGCTACACATCCATAATATTCAACCTCCACCAGCTTCAGTCTGACTAAGAAGTGACATGATCCTAACCGCATTATCCAGGTATGTGAGTCCCACTATGAGAAGTTTGAGCGATTTTAAGTCAGACTAAAGCGTTTACATGTCTTTTTTTAAATTCCTGTTTCAGTTGGACTGAGGCAATAAATCCTTTTTCTTAAACAACATGTAAACATACTTTAAAAAAAGGGGAAAATGTTGATCTTATCTGAGTCAAATTACACAGTTTCTCAAGTTTTTACATCACTCCACATGGTTATAAAGCAGCAAAGCAGATAGATTTTCATTTGAGTCAATACACTGAAAAATATTATTTATATTTAATCACATAATCTTTTATCAAGCAAAAAAATCTGCCAATGGGGTGAGCTTTTTTGCTTGACAAGAATCCTCAAAATAAGAATCTCTTGGCCCTGACAGACTCGAATGAAACTTAAAACTAGACAGAAAATCTTATATTTATCTAATTTTTTCTTCAGCAAGCAATGAAAAATGAAGATGAAGTTACTTAAAATTAGAATTTAAGTCTCTTGAATAAATCAACTTCAAGAAAATACACCTATTTTTTATTCCACAAGCAAGCATGTTCTTTGTTGTTCTTTGTTGTTTTGCAGTTTTCATCCAGTCAGAGCCGGCCCAAAGTATTTGTTATTTTGTTCAGTTGTTGTATTTTGTATTTAAAAAAATAAACTACAGTGTGATATTGGCATCAGATATCGGCCTTTGAGGTCTGATATCAGTCGACCGCTAATGTGCTTCCTGCTGTGCACTGAGCATCCAAAGTGCAGGTAGTTGTGGGGCAAAACAATCTCACAAAAAAGGACATATCCTTGAGAGCAGAGAAAAGAAAGAGGAAGAGGAGAAAAAACGCCAAGATAAAGGTATGTTTGCATGTCATGGAATGTTAAAGAGATTTCTGAAGGTGTGTGAGTGATCAATAATCAATATTATTGACAGAAATGTAGGGCCCCAAAATCAAATTATGCTTAGAGCCCCATTGAGGCTTGGGCCAGCTCTGTATCTGATCATTGTATTATGTTGTATGTTGTACAGACCAGCTTACTAACATCTTAATATGCCAGATAATGTATGAGGCAGCAGATTCTGTCAGTTTCAGAAGACCTGCGATGGAAATCTGAATAAAAAAAAATCTACTGTTCTTGTTTCATGGCATTCTTAAATTGAGAAGTTGTACATATGTCTTACTCTTAAAATGAGATGAATGATCTTGTTGCTCCGCTGGATTTTATTGTAAACAATTTTCTCCTCTATTTCTGGTTCATTCTATCTCAAAATTAGCTGGAATATCTTATTGAGAAAAAGTTAGCCATTTTCTCTTAAAATTAGCTCATTTTTCTAATGTCAGACATGCTTGACAAGATTAATATTCTTTTTGTACCAAAAATAAGACTTATCTTATTTTCTCAATACAAGGCTGTTTTCCTCTCTTGAAATTCCTTTATTGCAGTGTACGTGTGCTGTGTCGAGTTTCTGCTTTTTCCAGCTCTGGCGATTCGTAGCTTTCTGCAGACACAGAAGGTCGATGTAGACAGAGAAGTCAGGCACCTAAACAGCATTAAAAAAAAAAAAAATCAAACTAAAAGACTTCTGTTGACTTCAGATCCTATTCCACTGAACTACACTAGCAAACCATTGTAAGCCTGAAGCCAGCAGGTCAGAAAGAAGTAGAGTGAATCTGTATTTAACTCAGGAAATACATGGTTTCATGACTCCAGTTGTTCAATAGTGCCTCTCTGCCTCAACAGCATAGCAGGATGAACTACATAGCTAAGCCTGATCAGAGCAGAGATGAATTGGGCATAAATCCAGTGGCAGTCTGACCTTACTCGTGACTTTCTTGCCCCTCTTCATGTAGAGCTTTTATAAGGTTTAAGGTAATGGCACGATAAAGAGCAACCTCGGCTGGTGAGATCCAAACAGAAGTCCAACTTCCAACTGTATATGCCTGACAGAGGTTCAACATCACATATGCTTGTGGAGGTCCACTGAGTCTGCAGCCAGGTTCTCCTCCAGTAACATGAGGGTGTCTCCTGTATGTTATTTAATGTTGAATTTTTTTTTGCTTTTTGACAAAACATTGATTAAAAGAGTAAATTGATCTGAGCTCAGGGGTTAAGCAAATCTTGATTGGTGTCTCAAGTTCTTGCACCACACTATTATTACAGATTAGCTGCGTGTTATCCCCTCTTATTTGTCTGTTACTCTCCAAACATCTGCCTGTTTGTTAGGAATAATGATTGTGAAATATTTACAATCAACCTTTTTATTTCAAATGAGTCAGTACATGGGCTTACATGACTACTTTTTTCTTTTTTATCATTTATTTATTTTCAGGAGAAGAAACCGATGAAAAAGAAGCTGCTATTATATGCGTTGAGACACACAGCTTTCATATACAAATTTGAAAACAATGCAGGATAAAAACACAGACAGTGAAACAGGAAGATCAAAATGAAAGTTTTTAAGAATTTCTACAAAAGCAGATAAAATACAGCACCAGCTGAATTCTGCTTTTTATCAAACTGTGGTGTTTTGATTTCTTATTTGGGAAAGCGGTCCTCGTAATTGGTGTAACTGAGTCTCCAGCTGCTGGTATGACGGAGCCGCTCAGTGCTGCCATGACTACTTTTTTTCTAATCCAATCTAAATCTTTCTGACTGGAAATTCTGTGTTTTTTGAGTCTATACCGTACAATCAATCTGGTGTTTCGATGCCCTTAGTAGCATGACTTCGTAGCACTGTGACCCAAGTCTAACCCATCACAGTACAAAAAAGGAGATGAGGGGTCAAGTATCAGTTGTGTTGTGTCATCTTATTTTTAATTACATCTTTTTCTGATCAAAATTTCAAGTAGATCAGCACTTTTATCCAGATAAACATTTTAAAATGAGTCATTGTCATTCTGATCGGGCCACGTATTTTACTGATATCTGATTTTAAGTGTTCACATAAACACATTTTCAGCTCTTCTACAGTTTTTTTTTAAATATTTTGTGACCGGTGGAATCATTCTTTGAAATGTTTGTTTGTGTCTAAACATTTACAAGCAATGTGTCAATGCACAGAGCAGAGACAAGCAGGCGAAAAGTGGTAGCATTTCCATCTCTTTGCGCTATGATTCTAAGCGTGTTGGACTAAGAAGCACTCATCACTTTTACTTCCACTGAGACAGTTTCTCAATGAAGCTCTTTCTGGGGGTTTTATGTCTCTTAAACCATGTCTACAGATTGTGCCATAATGTAATAAAGCTATCCTGGTGTTAGCATCCAGCGCCTGCCAACCCTCTGAATTCATGCATGTCTTTCCCTGCTTCTCTTGTGGGATTTGATTACCACTGATACTCCCCCAAAGTAATGAAAGTTTTATCTGTTTCATGAAAACTTGAAGTGGGAGAACATCACACAGCTGAACAAGCGTCTGCTGATGTCTGTGTTTGCACACGTGCAAACACAGACACATACTGGTGCGCTCGTGCGATGAGAGCTCAACAAGGAAGTGGCAGTGACAAGTCTGATATCCCGTGTGGATCCCAGCCTGACATGGCTGCAGTTTCCCTCCAATTTCTCTTCCCAGCTGAAACAAAAGAGTCTGTTTTCTGACTGCTTTGTTTGAGGCAGTGTGGAAGCTGGCAGGAGTTGTACAAATCCAAACAAGCAGACAAACAAATGGAGCTACCAGTTCCTGCACTTTGGCATAAATTAGGCCATGATCTCCAACCACCTCGGAGCCTAATAGAGGCAGCTTATGTGTGTCATGAATTACTAAGCAGCAATATTTGGGGCTTCTCTCAGAGCAATCAAACCGCAGAGGCTTAATTTCCAGCAGAGACTTGCCCTGGAGTGTCTGGGGAAGTGGGCTGCTCTCTGCGGTCTGAGGACTGACAAGTGAACCTTCTTCCCATCTGTTAGAGACATCATAAATATCTGTTTTTCTTGAACCAAAAACGATGAAATGCCTCCAGATAGAAATAATCTTCTTCTAATAATATCAGGTTGGCGTTACGTGTTGTTGTATTTGTGGCTGTATGGACTGTTAGTTCAATATCAACTCTATTTTTTCAGGCTCAGTTTTGGTGCCCGCCAACTCCTGAGGTTAATTTGTACAACTACAGATTTAGATCCTCGGCTATAAATATCACCAAGGTGTTTTCTTTGTCTATCTACTCTGGTGTGATGAGCCGGCAGTATTCAGAGGGCTTTTAGAGACAATGCTTTCAGAGCAATGAGAGGAGAGACGTAAAAAAAAAGAAACCCACCCAACAGTGAACTTTACTGAGAATAAATCTCTATGACGCAGATCGGAGCTGCAGTTTCTGGTGATAATTCTCCGTAGGTTCATTACAACAAGAAACCGCCTTTTTCATCATTATTGCAAATTATTGCGACTTCTATCTGAGTACTTCCTTCATGTAATGGCCTATATGTGGTATACTGAAGTTAGAAAGAAGGACGGACACAAGCAGCTGTGGTAAAATACTTTTATAGAGCAGTAATCCATATCTGAAATATAGCATCCAAGCAGAATAGCCCTGATATGTACAGAACTCAACTCACTCATTTTTTCTCCATTTATATATGCTTTTTATGTAAATATGTTCAATAATTTGTGTGTGTTGTGTTGTGTGTGTAGGTGTGTGTGTGTAGGTGTGTGTGAGAGTCCATGTAGATATGTGTAATACTTTTTTCCATCAATTATAGTTTAATAAAAGTTTTAAATACAGGTCATAATAATTCTTTTTAAATGTCTCTGGATATAAAAGCTGGTGTTCTGACCCTCATTAGTCCATTAATGAAGATGAATACTTCCTCTCTGTCTTTTCTTTCTTTGCCTATAAACTTTATTCATTTCATCTTTTATAAATATTCTCCATCTCTCTTCTGTATTGCCTCTTGTACGGTGCCCCTTGCCCCCTTCCACTCTCTATATATTCTCTTTATACCTCCTAATTGCTTCCTTGCTGTGACTCATGTGTGGACTGAACTTTTGCTTTTATTTGACTTCAGCACTTTTACTTCCCTGCACAAGTATCAAACCATTAAGTGCTGAAGAGGCAATTTTAAGAGCAGTAACAACATGTGTGGCCCAGTCAACCATTCTCTATCATCTCCAACAACAACAGCTAAAATCATAACCTTTGTTACTCCTCCTCCCACCTCTCTTTTCTGTTTGCATTTTAATTCTCCACTTCACTCCACACTTGTTTTTTTTTTAATCACATCTCCGTAGTTTTGTATTTTTTTAAGAAGGGTAAGCAGTGCATTATAGTATCAAAGTGTCTTTTGCTCTGTCTTGTAGTTTTCAGAGGAACCAGAAGCATTTCTTTCTGTTCTTCTTGGTGGTGGCGGGGGGTCGCACCGGCTGAGGAGAGTCTTGTTGGTGGGGTGTGGGGGGCTGGGGAGCAGGGGGCATTGGCATACCCTCAGGAGGGTCACCCACCTTCCATGTGCGGACCACCTGCCCTTCCTGCAGACGGAAGTCATGCTCTACACTAGAGAGAGAAAAAGAAAAGAGGCGGGAAAGTGTTAATTATGTTTGGATGGACTTGCAATGACTCTTTTTAGCCACCTGGGGGAGCAAAAACATGTATCAGCATGAGATGCATGAGAGATCTGATGTGTCAACACCATAGACTGTATATACCATGGACAACTTGGTTCTGCCTTCTGCTAGTATACGGTTTGAAGCCAAAAAGCTCTCAATATTTCCAGGTTTTTATCTTTACTTCCTGAAACCAACATTGCGCAGTAGCGTTGTACGCATTCGGTCCGTGGGAGAGTCGCAGAGAGTCGCTGTGATTACACTCTGCTCAGCGTATTTCCCAGGTGAGCTACGCAATCTTCATACGCCCATAGGCTGTATCAAGTGTCAATCATAGAAAACATGAACCCCCTAATAACTTTTAAAAATGGAGCTGCACAGAAAAAAGAGGACTTGAGCAAAAAACAGTCTTGCAATAACATGTCAACATCGCAACCAGGGGGGAGAAAAATGTATGTTCTGTGTAATAAATTTCTAGTGTGTTCACAGCTCCATAGGGATGGTTGGAGGAGGTGGGATTTACGACCTATACTGTAGCCCGCCACCAGAGGGTGCTGTTCTTGGGGTGGCTTCACCCAACGAGGAGGCAGACGGCATCCATTCTATATACAGTCTATGGTCAACACACAGCAGGAGCTTCACATTCAGTAAGACATGCACACACACACACACACACACACTGTCCTGTTCCACCCTGCCTGCTCCTCAAACTGCAATGTAACTCCTCTGTTTCTATTGTGTTCACTTGGTCCCACTGTGATAGGAGGTGAAGCTTCTTACTCTGGATTAATCAACTACATGAATCAGCCATTTTGAGTGTATGTCCATAATAACTTTAATTAAAGATTCAAACTATTTTCTCTCCCTTTAACATCTTCAGTTAAAGGGGTATTCAGACGTAAAATTAAGTAAGGGTCAAATATACCGTACACCGTACATCATTACTTCATGGAAATGAAATCAGTCTAAGACGCTAAGGCAGAAGAACCACCGCGTCTGCAGTGCAAAATGATTAATATAATGATTATTACTTCAAGAAAATGATAAAGAAATGATCATAAATGTTCTTCCTTGAGCTGCATCACCCCACTGCAGTCAGTGATGGACTCATCCAAGATCTCCCTACAAATAAGCAGCTGCTAGAAGAGAGTAGGTGAGTTGTGTTTAGTCTCTTTGCTAAAGAAATTAGGCAAAGTTAAAAAGATGTTTGGTGTCTTGTACTATGGCTGGGACCCTATCTGTACTGTTGATGAAGTTAGGTGCTGTTCTGAGCATTATCTGTGGCTATGGAGTGGCGTCTTGGTTGAAGTGTGCCTGTGGATCCATAGGCCGCTGTGTATTGCTATCTGCGGTCGTTACTAAAGTTGGTAAAGCTAGAGAAGCAAGCAGTCGGCAACATTCATCTCTCAAGGGGGTGTCTAACTCTGTGTTACGGTGTGTTTGAGACCCTAGCTTAATTTTACGCCGGAATATCCCTTTAAGCACACAGGCACAAAAACTATGTTGTATTTCTACAGTTTTCAAAAAACTTATTGTTATAAGTTATTGAGGTGCTGAGTTTGAGTCAGTTTCACTCTGGGAGTGGACATGGTCTCCTGAAAGCAAATGTAACCCATGTAGCCATGTTCTTGGTCTCCAACAACTCCCCCTCTAGGTCCATATTGGACTGCTCAATGCTTCATGTTCTCCAGGAAACTGCTATCTTTGTCTGTCTACCAACACTGAGCAGATGGTGCACAGTTGTCCTTGAGAGTCTCTTCAGAAACAATTACCTCTATAGCCAAAAACAACATCGCTAGAAATACAAGAGTAAACCAAATCTGTAAAACTGTGTGTGCAGGTCAGCTAAACAATGAGATTAAACCATAGAGCTCCAGGATGAGGAGAATCAGGCTTTAACACTCAGTAGGGTCTTCATTATGAGGAAAACTCTCTCTTGTTGTGATAGTATTATGCTGAAAATGAAAGACACTCTAAAAATTGCAGAAATAAAGGTGAAAATCAAGACTCTAACAGCCCGAGGCAGAAGAAAGACCCCTGTAAAAAAAAAAAGCATCAAAGAGAAACAGTGGAGACTCCAGCATCTGTCCTGTTTTTTTCTTTTTTTTGAAGATAATAATGAAGCTGTTGACAAAGTGAATCACGAGCTAAAACGCTGAGCACCACAGAAGTGTTGCAGCACCAAGAGGGATCCCAGGACTGCAGTTGACACACACATCAAATGAAAAAGCCAGCAAGGTGCATTGTCAGTCACATGACAGCACAGCTCAGGAGCTTCACCGCCAAAATGAGACATGAACCCTGATGCACCTCTGCAGCAGCCATAGGTAAAGGTAAACACTAAAAATGAATGCATCTGCGATAAAGGAATAACAACAATATTTGCTCGCTGATTTACTTCTGTCAGCAGTCACATGGAGGGAAAGTGTTCCCCCAGTGAACTGATTCTTTTTCTTTCCTTTTCTTTTTTTATTCATTTCACTTTGCTGCTATTCTTGCTTATTATGCAGTGGCCTAGTTAGCTGGTGTTTCTCATCACAGCACAGAAGCAGGAATTAAAGAGGACTCCCTCTGTTGAGGAGACAAGGAAAGGAGTGCTGCAGAGGAAGCAGGGAGGACTGAACTCAGCGGGAGCAGGAGCACGGCCCCGAATTTTTCATGCAGGAACAATGAGGACTCTCGCATTCATATCCATCTGGCTTCAAAACTCCCACTCCCACAGTCACTCAACCACTTCACTCAAAACAAATGAAACATCAAACTCCAGACGGGAGCACAGTGCAGGCAAACGAGTGCGGATTGAGTAAACAGTTAAAAAGTGAGTGGGAACAGAGAGCAGTAGAGTGGATTTCTTCCCTGTGCAATATTTACAGCAGGTAGGAGAAAAAAAACACTTTAACTGAACCTCTTTGTGGTGGCTGGACTGCTTCACACCTCGAAACAAACCTCTGAAGCTGCTTAAAATGAACAACAAGTGAAGGAGATCGTCCCAGCAGAGGCCAGGCAAAACTTAAAGCTCCTGTGAGGAATTTTTCAAAGGTTGTAAAAAAGCCTGAAATGAACACTATCAAGTCTCTGTGATTTATAAAAGATAAAACATGTAGTTTGTATTGGTAGATTTCTTGCTGACCGCTTGCTTCTCTAGTCATACCATCTTTAGTAATGACAGGATAGCAATACACAGCGGTGTGAGCCCCTCGAAAGATGAATGTTGCCGACCTCTTGCCCCTCTTTAGTAACGACCGCAGATAGCAATACACAGCGGTCTGAGGAGCCATAAACAAACCTCAACCAAGACGCTACTCTATAACCACAAATAATGCTCAGAACAGCACTTAACTTTCTGCGTCACCCTGCAGCAGTCCGTAATGGACTGGCCTGGGCTCTCGCTACAAACAAGCGGCTGCTGGAAGAGAGTAGGTGAGTTGTGTTTAGTCTCTTTGCTAAACAAATTAGGCGAAGTTAAAAAGATGTTTGGTGGCTAGTACTGTGGCTGGGACCCTATATGTACTGTTGATGAAGTTAGGTGATGTTCTGAGCATTATTTGTGGCTATAGAGTGGCGTTTTGGTTGAGGTTTGTTTATGGCTCCTCAGACCGCTGTGTATTGGTATCTGCGGTCCTTACTAAAGTTGAGTATAACTAGAGAAGCAAGAAGTCGGCAACATTGATCTTTCGAGGGGGTGTCTAACTCAGTTTTACCATGAATTTGACCCTAAAATAATTTTATGCCGGAATGGAGATACAGACTCTAAGTCTAAGTCTGGAGATACAGACATAACCAAAGCACCCACCCCCCCACCGCCTCTACATCTTTACAGCCGCCCTGTTTGTGCCACCGTCCCGCTCAGCTCCCCAGCGCCTCCAGCCTTGCGTCCGCCGTGTTCCCTCTTTGTGAAAATGAATGGCCCCGGTCCACAGCTCTGCGTGATGAAGGCAACATCGGTGCTGTAGGGAGCTGTCCACCCTCAACCTTAATTATCTGCACACTGAGCCCACAAACTGTGGCAGGCAGAAAGCTGTGAACCTAACACAGCTCTTTTCTGCTGCTCCTCTTCTGTCCTCTGCTCACATTGACACTTTTTTGGCTACGGGGCACACCCAATCCCAGGTGTGTTTTATAGACAATGCCGGCAATAAGTCAGAGGGTCAGAGCTGTGATTTGTGCAATATAGGTTTCCGAGATGGATTGTGGGGGACAGGGATTGACCTCAGTTTAAAGGTGGTTTGCTGTAGTGTAACTGAAGTTGAAAGAAATGTTCGGTCACGGTAGTTGCACAGTTATGACGGTGTGTATGCCTCATGTTCTGTAATATAAATCACAAAGCCTTGAAAATCTTTGAATTCCCCTCCTGGTAAAAAATGTGTTGAGCTCCATCTTTCTTCACTTGGATGTTTGACCTTCCCTTCACAGACTGATGTGTTTGCAGTTTCACAGATTCACTCATTTATCTTCTGCGAGCTTTTCTTAAGTATACATTAAAGATATATACTCTCAAGCATCATTTAGTACGATTGTCGCTGGAACGAAGGTCAATCATCGTGCAATGTGAAACCTATCAGGGAGAGTAGTCTGCTGCTGTTACAAAGAGCACAGACAGTAAATGCTGATATATACCGAGGAGAGGATGGATGAACAATAAGCTTCACTTATTTCATCATTAATGCTTGACCACGCTTGGACTTTTTCAAGGTAAGTTCACCACAAGTGTCATACTTACAAATTCAGCCACCAGGAGAATCAACCATCACTCTTGAGTTCATAAACAAGCTAAGTCTGACATCAGTCTTTACATAAGCCCAAATTATTATGTGTTTAGTGGGAAATACTAAACCCTGAGGTAAAAAACATCAGCGTCCTAATCAGCAGCACAAAGTAGTCATCTGAAATGTTTTTGTTTTTTTATTTAATTTGTGAATGATTTCTATATGACGTCTGTAACGTGGGTGGTGTAGGTGGAGACAGCTGGCAGCTTTTAGCAGCTAGCAGATCTCAAGACAGCAGGTTAGCGTCTGAGAGTTGACAGACAACAGACGAAAGATTTCTACACGGCTGTTTCATTTGACAATAAATTATTTTAACCAGGTCTTTGTGGCACAAACAGTAGAACATGAGTATTGTCAGCAACAACGTGTTGCTGAATGGTCTATCAAGCAGCAACCTGAGATGTTAAAAAAATTAAGTAAGACTCAAAGTGAGGTTGATGTTGTATTGTCGATATGGCCGCTGCCCTCACTGGGGTTTAAAACTCAGCTTCAGAAACGAGTAAGTGACAATGCCGAGACTACACCAACTTTATTTTCAGTTAATTATATAATCTTCCTGTGTGGTTACTGCGAGAGCAAAGGAAAAAGGAGGCACCATGTTGTGGCACTGTGGGATTTTCTAGTAATATTACATTTGCTTGTCTTTTTGTGTCACAAGTCCTTGAATGGAGAATGACTTTATACAATATCTCACTGAATATTTAAAACGTTGAAAAGTCAACTTTTTATTCTTACCTTTTTTTCTTGTCAACAGGAGGCACACTGTAAAGATTTCACTTCTGAACAGGAGCCCAAATATTTTACATTTAAAAAGAAAAGGCCCCACTTAATTTACTTATCTTCAAATTAAAAAAAAAAAAAGATAGTTTAGTACTTTTTCTTTTGCAGGAGCAAGTCATGACACAACTGTAGGGCTAACATTGTATGCATGGTTCATCTCATTCTAGCACAAATGTGTTTATAAATCATGTGTTCAATAAAAGTCCAAAGGAAACAAATAAATAAAGTGAGAACAAAAACTGATAAGCATTTAATTTCTTTTGTTTGACCAAACAATCTCAGCATTCAAAACAATAACATGTCAACGATAAATGAGTGCCAATTTAAAAGATTAAAACACATGAGAAACCCAAAAACTGCAGCTGTCATGATCATATTGACCAATGTGATTAAAAAAAAAAAAAATCTTAAAATTTAAAGCTGAATTTAAAGCTCCAGTGACAAACACCCAGTTTGTGTCAATTTTGGCGCCCCCCTGAGGACAAAGCAGTCTTTGCCTTTCCTGTCCTCTATTGACAAAAACTTAAATCCTTCTGACTTGACATTCAAATGTATCATCTATTGTGAGTATCTGGATGTAAACAGGGCTGTTTTCTCCAGCTGCGCCCTCACACTGGTTCCAGGCATTAAAAATGACAATTTACAAATAGTCAGGCTTTGCATTTTGATACCATGAAAGGGTTTTAATATGAATTTTAGTCTATTTCATGGATGTAAAAAAAAACTCCTTACTGAAGCTTTAAATTTGAGGTCCCTTTATTCATCCAGAGAATGATTGTCATTTGATTTTGAAAGGCGATGAGCTCTTTAGTTTAGGGGCAGAGTTAGGCAAATTGAATTTAATAATCTGAGGGCATAAGATAAGATATGAAGACTGGAAAAGAGAATGGTAAAACTTTTCTATTTCATTTTGTTAATAATTGTTGTATCAGCAATTTGGAAACTTGCACTGTCAAATACTAAGAGTGGACTTTCTTAGTATTGTAGGTGACTGAATGAAAATGGACTTTGTTAACAAAACATTTGCATTTCTTTTATGATGTTGGTCTTTAAATGAGAGGCATAAAAGAAATGTGAGAAGTGGAATATTTAAGAAGGTAATCAAAGCTTTCTCTAAGAGAGCTTATCAGACAAAAGTTTTCTCTTTTTTGGAGTTTATCTAACAAGTCCAGGAGGGATCTTTTTGAGTTTTTTTTTTCAGTGTCTTGGTGTGTTACTTTGTCTTTCTGTATCTCTCTGATGAAAACAGCTAAAGACTTTCAGTGGGTGATCAAAGTGACTCCAAAGTCAACCAAACATCAGCTTGAGGAGTTGATATCTTTGCTTAAAGCTTGTATCAGTACACTATCTATTCCCACTGTGTGACCTTACTTTGCACATGTTATTCCATCCTTGGAGATTTACTCTTTCAATCTTCTGTTTTTTAATCATTCGGTTTAGAAGACAGCGACCTTGCCCAAGAGCACAAACCCATCGCTTCTCCAGAGGGGATTGGATCAGCAGATTTGTAGTTACAAATGTTACTCAAGGTCATCCCAAACCGACCTTTAAAACAATTAGAGATTATTGACTGCAGTGTCCTCAATATAATTAACAAATTTGTCAGTTTGGTTCGCTTTTACCTGCAGTCGGAGGAGCATGCAGACAGTGATGGGTGCAGGAAGACAGATAGAGCCGCTGACCTGCACTGTAAAGCACACGTTGTGAAATTGGACATTAGGTGCAGTCAGGTTGGATACAGGATTAAAAAGTTGATAAGAACAGTTTTCTAAAACAGTGTGTTAAAATAATATGAGAATAGAGGGTTGAGCAAGGCCTTGTCTCTCTTTCATCCCTCCATCTATAAAACATTCATACAACAGCACCAGCAGGACATCACCATTTCCCCTCCGTCTCCCCTTCCTCCTCTTTCTCTGAGTGGTGGAGGAGAGACTTTCAGCCGAAATATAGCCGTGCGAGGGCAATCAACACAAAAAATCTTTGCAATTTTCTCCCCTAAAGGCAGAACATCTTTAAAAAAATGAGAACATTTAATCTCAGCAGGAATTACAGCAGGAGTCAATCTCTGCAGAGGGCAATGTTCATCTCTGATGGGGTACCACACCCAGAAATACATATGTGACAACATACAGCACGACGCATACAAATAGACGTGGACACGTGCGCATAGATAGACAGCCACAAACACATGAAGCAACAGCTCGATTACTTTTAAGAAGCCCGGCTGTACACCAAAGTATTAAAGTCTCCTGGGACTTTTAACCAGAGACACTCCAGCCAGCTGCTCAGCTGTCACAGACCACCTGAATCTGTAGTCAGTCCTACAGTTCAAGATCTGTCTTCAACACTTACATTGACACTAGGGCCCAACTGATTTATCGGCAAACTGATTAAATCGGCCAATGTTAGCCCGTTTGAGGCTAATCTGTAATCGGCCAAAACTTTCCAATATTTTCAGAAATAAAATGCAGAGAATAAGATTCGGTTTCACTTCGAAAATGTTCCGCCATTTGAAAAGTTCCCCGACTTATCCTGTAGATGGCGCAGCGACCTCATGACAGTGTTCATCCACTAACTACCTCGCAGCACAGCAGAGTGACGGATCTGAGGCAGGCAGCTCAGGGACGCACGGAGGAGAGTGGTCCGCCTCAACGGTAAATAAACTAGTTTGTGAAATACACAATAACAGTAACACAGTAACACAACAACACAACGACAGTTCAAGCTAAAGTTAGAGTTGGGGGGGGGGGGTAGTTGAAAACGCTTCTCTGGTCTGAATTTGATCGGTATTCCTGAGCAGTAGCCTACAGTATATTTACAGTATGTAGTATACTGTAGATATCTACAGTATATATATATATATATATATATATATATATATATATATATATATATATATATATATATTATAACTTAGTAAAAAAAAATTTAAAAATCGACCGATTAATAGGTAATCGGATTGCACCACCCAATAACTTGTATCGGCATCGGACCCAAAAAATCCATATCGGTCGGGCCCTAATCAACACTGAGAACCCGCTGATTTGTCACATGCCCTTCAAAAAGAAATATAGTATTTTATTCTGATAGTGTCTGCTGGTGTTCTGCAACTCGTTCAAGGAAACTCTAGGCAACATTTAGACAACAAATTCAACAGTGAGGGAATTTTGTTTTGCAGGCCTAATCAGGTTAAGAAATTGAATTTAGAGGTTCTGATAGAAACAGAGGCAGAATAAACGATGAGAGAAAAACTCTCCTCAAGTGGAACTACAGCTAAGACAAAACACAGTGAAAAGAGGCAAAGCAAACTTACAGTCACACTAGCAGCTAACATAAGAATGCAAACATGCTCACAGTGACAATCACGTCAGAGGAGTATTCACTTACTTTAAAGTGACCTTAAACATGTTTATCATGTTCACACTCCTTCTGCAGAGTGTTAGCATGCCTGAAACTGCCACTAAGGACATGACACATGTCAACACAAAGCACAGCATGCCCTAAAGAGACTATTTCTGTGATTAAATGCTTTATTTAAAGTCATGGTTGACGAGATTGGTGATTATTATGAACCTCATTTATATGGCGATCATGGTCTTATAGTGCGATCTCCACAGAGTGAAGAAAAAAAGGAATGGAACAAATCTGTTTACCATAGCAGGTGCAGGGCAGCAAAAACATTGACCAATGGTAGTCATTCGTCCCGGACACAACATTTTTTTTTTTTTGTAGGACTGTAGGGGAAAGTCCCGCCTCCTTCGCCTCTGTTTGGCTAGAAAAGCTGAAAACGTCATCACACCCTCAAAGCAAACGCAGGCTGTCCGCTCTGTACATCAAACAAAACATTATCACACTTCTGAATCTCCTAACCCTGACCCTAACTCTAACCTGACAGACGATGACTTTTCACAGCCATAAGAAATAACCAATTGGAGCCCAGCACTTCTAGCCAATCAGAGACAAAGGAGGGCGGGACATTCCCCTTACCATCCTACAAAAAAAAACACCTCGCTGTATTTGACACACCCCTCTCCTGTAGTCCTGACTCGTCCCCTCCCACCCCCCGGCCCTCCTCAGAGCTCAGAGTGGCTAAAAGTAGCGTAGCAGCTTAGCTACAGGAGCTGTGATGGAGAAGGACGCAATATATATATATATATATATATATATATATATATATATATATATATACACTCACCGGCCACTTTATTAGGTACACCATGCTAGTAACGGGTTGGACCCCCTTTTGCCTTCAGATTTGTCGGCTGCACATCCATGATGCGAATCTCCCGTTCCACCACATCCCAAAGATGCTCTATTGGATTGAGATCTGGTGACTGTGGAGGCCATTTGAGTACAGTGAACTCATTGTCATGTTCAAGAAACCAGTCTGAGATGATTCCAGCTTTATGACATGGCGCATTATCCTGCTGAAAGTAGCCATCAGAAGTTGGGTACATTGTGGTCATAAAGGGATGGACATGGTCAGCAACAATACTCAGGTAGGCTGTGGCGTTGCAACGATGCTCAATTGGTACCAAGGGGCCCAACGAGTGCCAAGAAAATATTCCCCACACCATGACACCACCACCACCAGCCTGAACCGTTGATACAAGGCAGGATGGATCCATGCTTTCATGTTGTTGACGCCAAATTCTGACCCTACCATCCGAATGTCGCAGCAGAAATCGAGACTCATCAGACCAGGCAACGTTTTTCCAATCTTCTATTGTCCAATTTCGATGAGCTTGTGCAAATTGTAGCCTCAGTTTCCTGTTCTTAGCTGAAAGGAGTGGCACCCGGCGTGGTCTTCTGCTGCTGTAGCCCATCTGCCTCAAAGTTCGACGTACTATGCGTTCAGAGATGCTCTTCTGCCTACCTTGGTTGTAACGGGTGGTTATTTGAGTCACTGTTGCCTTTCTATCAGCTCGAACCAGTCTGGCCATTCTCCTCTGACCTCTGGCATCAACAAGGCATTTCCGCCCACAGAGCTGCCGCTCACTGGATATTTTTTCTTTTTCGGACCATTCTCTGTAAACCCTAGAGATGGTTGTGCGTGAAAATCCCAGTAGATCAGCAGTTTCTGAAATACTCAGACCAGCCCTTCTGGCACCAACAACCATGCCACGTTCAAAGTCACTCAAATCACCTTTCTTCCCCATACTGATGCTCGGTTTGAACTGCAGGAGATTGTCTTGACCATGTCTACATGCCTAAATGCACTAAGTTGCCGCCATGTGATTGGCTGATTAGAAATTAAGTGTTAACGAGCAGTTGGACAGGTGTACCTTATAAAGTGGCCGGTGAGTGTATATATATAAAACTCTTCGGCTTCTGGGATGTTCTGGCCTAAAGATGGCACTAGATCAGAATTAAAAGGATGACAAAAGTTAGCACAGAGTAACTTTTTACTGTGATTAAGTGCAACATGCATTTTGAGAATTGGTCATTGAGACTGAGAAGAATGCACAGGCGAATGACAGAAAATCTTGTCTCCTATCTATTCTTGTTGAAATCCCTCTTGAGTGTATCCCTGCATTTAGCCAGTGCCTGCAGAAACACAAGTAGAAGAGGATACTTCGACTTCAAAAAGAAACCCAAACACTCCCATTACCAAAATCTGCCCTAAAGGTTTAAGGAGAATCTCACTGAATCTCTTCTTTCTCCTTTGCCTTTTCTGACTCTCTTTGGCTTTTACTATCAAATGACGATAAATTGCCCCCAAAATGGCTGCCTGGACAAATGTGGTATACAAACCCACAACCACACTGTTATTGCCCTCCAAACAACCATGATGTGGCTGAAAGCTATCTCAGAGCAATGACTTAAAGGTGGGGTAGGCAGGATCTGAGGAAGTGCCAGTTTTGGGGAGAAATCTTGAATGCAAACTCTACCCCTCCAAACCAGTTTTCCCCTCAGCTCCTCCTCTCCCCTCCGTCTCTGCTCCAGCAAGCCCCGCCCACAAACAGACACTCCCGCTTGCAGTTAAATTCAGATATAATGCAGATAAATACTTCAGATAATTACAAATGGAGCCCAGTCAACGTGAAAGTAAAAAGCATTGGTGCTACTGTAGATGCCAACAGACTACCGGCAAACACAATGTTTGCAGGACTTCTACAACTAGGATAAAGTGACATAGTCCCGGACCCGAGGTCAACAATTTAGTGGCGCTACGACACGCAGCAGGTCCCGTTTGACAAGAAAAACTTCTGTTACACTTGGCTTACTTTGTTAAAGCGGTTTACCTGTCCAGCAGAAAGGTTACAGGGTCTGTAAGATCTGAAATTTTAAATGTTGACTACACAGACATAACAAAACACAGCGATATTGTTATATTACCAAATGTCATCAATGACTAATAGCTATTGGCTGATATTAAAAGATTTTTTGTATATACACCACAAAAAAAGATGCTTCTTTAACGGATTCCTGCCTACCCCACCTTCACACCAAGTTTTTATTTAATACCATCAGACATCTTAAGTTTAGTTGATTAGATCAGTATCCCAGGATGACAAGCTTAAAAACAAAATTCAGCTCGAGATAATTATGTTGTGATGATGAGGAATCGTCTTACATCTAAAGATAATGAGATAATTAAGGTGTGATCTCAAGCTCGACTCTCACTCAGCTTGTCCACAATCAGATTTTGTAGTCGTCAGCTTCGCTTTATTGACAGCTGGCCGAGGCATCTGTTGTCGGATTCTGACTGACAGAAGGTCCACTCTGCAGAGTAACCACAGAGCAATTAGAGGAGGTTTTATTTTGGAGAAAACCTACAGAAATGAGTTATAATCTTACATTTCCACACCTCCATTCAACAAGCTTACACAAGCCTGGAGAAAATCCCATCAAGGAAAAAAAAAGCTTCACTAACAAGATGGTAGACTCAGGCTAGAAGTGATGGAAAATGATGTCTGCAAAAAGAAAAGGCAGAGCGATGAGGAAAAGTATTATTTCAGTTTGAATCGCTGGGAGGAGACTGTGTGACAGAGCACGAAAAGAAAGACACTGACGCTGTAAACATGACTAACACCTCAGGGACACATCATCTTATGATTTATGCTATCCACAGAGGGGCTGACTACGCAATATAATTTATGCTAATCATAGGATGCTAAAAGCTTAAACGCACATCACCCGGAGTCAGATCACATTACACAAAAACATCTCTCAGCGCTAGACGGAACAATACATTGTATTGAAACTATTTGAGCTAGCTTAGGATACAAATATTTCAAGGTCGATGCGTTTGGCTTCATAACTAAGTGCTCAAGTGCTTGGCAGCATTTCAAAATAAACAAAGGGAAACCTGTAGTGGATAAATTTGAATAACCTAACCTTGTACAGCTTTAATGTTACTGTCTCTCCCACCATCTCTGTCCTTTCCCTGCTGTATCCTTTCGTTCCACTGTTTGATAATGAATGCCAAATATTTACATTTTCATAGCAATTACCCACGTAGATTTTACTAATGTGACCTTATTAGCAACCTCTGGCACGATCACAGAGCTTTGTTTTTCATAAAACCAACAGTGAAGCCGATCCCTGTATAAGAAAGGGCAGACTCTCACCTTATTTGTACTTCCTTTTATGGACATGAATAATAAAACATGATGTTTGTTCTCTGATGAACCCAGACGAAGAAGCAGGTTTATGATCAGTGAAAATCCTCAGAGCATCAAATCGCTGTTTAAATAAAGAGCTACTGAGGTTAAGATTGATGACAGGGGAAGCGTACACAAGGGATGAGAAACTCAAAGCAGATGTAGGCCGGGAGCTTACAGTCCCATCACAGTTACCCTGTAGCAGCTCAGGACCTGACCCCCCTGTTGTGGTGAAGCTCTCAGTGCTTTGTTTGTTCTGTGGAGCCCATTGAGTCATAGGATGATGCCGAACAAAGTGTATAAATGAGAAAAGCTTTCATACACACAAGCAGCAGCCAACAGGAAGGCTGGCAATCTTGAGCATCCAGGATCTGCTCAGCGAAGACAAAATCTGCTGGCTTTGAATCCACAGTCATCACTGGTTTACTCTGGGAGAACAGAGCATGCCTGCAAATGTCATCTATCTGCTGCTCTCAGTCCTCTGATAATAGAAAGCAGCACAATGAAAGCAGTTCTTGTCGGATTGAGGAACTAAATCAAACCCATTTTTGTAGAAATAAATGGGTGCTTTTGAGATTTTGTCATAATATTTGTAAATCTGCAGATTGTGCTCAGAGTCCAATTACTGCAGGACTTTCAGTGCTGTCTTGCAGCACTAAGTTACAGCTGAGCAGATAATAGTTCATGTCAGAAACGGTAGAAGTGGTTGTAAAAAACTTTTAAGACCCACTACGATGAAAGTAGTGTTTTTTCTGTTGTCTACTTGTTCGTATGGCATTTTTCTGATACTACAGAACATATCATGAGAAAAATAAGTATGAAATTGCATTTCTGAGTATTTCTGCATTTAATCGCTGTTAATCTCTGGCAGACCCAAACGGCAGGCTCAGACACGGTAAGATTTCCTATGTCATAACTCCAGGCTCCGCCCTCAGAGCCCCGCTATGCAGGTCAGACTCTGAGAAATAGAGAGGACGATCGCCAAACAAGCGTTAGCGGATTGAAATGCTTTTAAGAAAACTAATATGATATTAGATTTCAACATGCTCCTAAAGACATTAGTGTCCAAGAGCTGAATAGCTCGTATGCTACCTGTTTGCTCTATTACACCGGCAATGTTAGGCTGCAAGGTAACTCAAGGAGAAGAGTGCAGAGCTGCACTGTCTCCGCCCACGACTCAGAGGCGAATTGTTAATGAGCTACTCGAGCTCTGCAGATGAAAAGCCCTTAAACAGGTAATGTAATTTTGGCTCAAAACGTCATAATCACAGTTTAAAGACCACTGAGAACATTTTAAGTAGCTAAAAAAAGGATCCAAGTGAGACTTTAAGTATTTCATTTTAAGTTGAATTTTAAAGATACCAGCCATTTGCATGTATTTACATATTCTTCTTTACGCTTTGCTAAGATAGCTAAATAAAATAACTAATCCTCAATAATCTGGGCTGGTCTTTTTCTCAAAAAAATGTCTTGTAAAAATCAATGTGACCAACTTTTAATTTCCATAAATCAAACAGGATTCAACTAATAACACGTAGTATCTTCGTAGCTGACTTTGGGAGAAGCTTGAAAGCAGATTTGTTACATTTAGGCTAAACCAGTGCAGCTAATCAATCATGGAGGCAGCCTTAGAGTTTATTTAACAGACAGCCATGAGAGTAATATTGATCTCAGAGCACACCAAACCAGTAGCTTTGTAGAACGGAAACTGCTGAATCTCCCAAAAACGTACAGCTATGTGAGACTGCAGAGCCGGGTGATGTTTCTAGCCCACTGAGCAGGAAAATCTTGGCTAGCATGGCTACCTTTCCTCATTATTGTGGGCCATGATCTGTTGTCCATGTCACTGAATTTCAATCCAACTGTACATCCAAGTATAAGCACAGTTTCCCTGCTGTTGGACTCGATGTGGTGGGTCAAATTTACTGCATCATATGATACAGTGTATCCAGTGTGTCCTGCACATAAATGAGTAGTAGTAAGCTGGCTAAGGTGACTTAAAAGGCAAAAGTTTAAGGCTGGTTACACACAGCACACTGAGGTATTGAGTGATAGCTGCTGATGGATGAGCAGCTACAGAGGAGACCTGAGCGTGTGGCAGTCTGCCATCTAGGGAAAAAAAAAAAACAACTGGAAGTGAAGAACCATCCATCTTTATCTGTGCCACACCCATCCATGATCACACACTAACACACAGAGGAGTTTTTCTCTTTATTTTGTGTCCGATATTTAGATGGGATAGATAACGGCCACTTAAGGGGTCATGATGATTTGTGGCTGGGGTCACTTTAACACCAGTGTTTATTATGACCCAAATCCAAATGGTTTTATTCCATGGTGAGCAAAGAGGTTTTCTGTGTTGATTGGTTTCCTTTTTTTACATCTGGCATGTTGGTTTTATGTCTTCAGATCAAAGATTTTCTCGAAGCACCTGTGTTGAAACCAAAACAGTCTTTGATCGTGAGCAAAGAAATAAGGGATTTAATAGAAGTCTTTGAACTTTGTGGATGGATTGATTTCAATGCCAATCAAAATCAGGTGATAGTGTTGCAAGCAAGAGAGATAACGTTAAAAAGTGGAGTTTTTATCTCTTTTGTGGGTCAAACTGGTGTTGAAGCGGCATAAATATGTTGCACAGAAGTACTGAGCACATTTTTAATGAGTCACAAAAGGCTTAAGAAAGAGAAAACCAAGGGTCTAAATAATATAAAATAAGTCATTTTTATGCCTCAAGTTTATTTCCGAACAGTAACACCACAAAAAGATGTTAAACTTTTGATTTGGTTAAAAACTCACAGATTTATTATTTTTCACCTGCAAAAATAACCAGAAAAGGGTTAGCAGGACATATGCTGCATTCTAGTTGTACTTGGAAGTCACCAACCCCGACTTGACGACAACGTCATATTCCAAGGTGGCAGCGCAGTGCATCAACAGTAAAGAGTAACAGTAGAAGCTATTGTACTAAATCATTTATGTGAATTTCCCAGTTTGGTTTTAATAAAGTATATCTGTCTATCTATCTATTATTAGCACTTCTGTTTGTTTTTTGTGAAATTAAATAAGTGTTATATGTTGTATCGCCAACGTCTAACTGTGAACACGGTGCTATGGTGTTTGTAAGAGTGAAATACTGTTGTGCGTTGTTTACAACTGGTATCACTAACAACAACGAACAACCACTGACAATGGCTAACAACAACTGACAATTGTAAACAACAGCTAACAACAGGTAACTGTAGACATCCATCTTGGTTTTTCGACTTGTTAACTGGAACGCCGTCAACTCAGGTGTAACGTCATTCCCAGCTCCGAAATCTGACTTCCGAGGTAAGTGGATTGCAGCAATAAAGCCGGAGCTTAAAAATGTGATCCAGTGTCATGAGGTCATGTCCAATAATGTTTAAATGATGTGATTAAGCCTGGATAAAAGTGAGATCGCTAATATTTTACAGTCTGTATATTGAATACTTTCTGGTTGATAAGATGCTGGATATTCTGAATCTTCGTTTTCCCTTGGTAAAACTTTAACAGTAGCTTGCTGTAACGATAAAGACGTGTTTTCATTAATGAAGACTGGACAGAAAAAAAAAAGGGGGGGGGGGGGTATTTTTTAAAGTTTTATGAATCTCTGGTGGGAGACCATCTGGTCCACAGGCTTTTCCAGATGGTGAGGTACCTATCACCCCTTCAACTTCTCCACTGGTTATATCTGTATCACAGTTCAATCTATCCTCCTCAGACACTCTCAGAGGGTCTATTTAGCAGGAAAAGTCATCCATCCGATCCTCCATGCCCAATGATTTTGAGGTGTACGGTGAATAATAAAGATCCTTCAACACTTTCATAACATCCATGTTAATGTGATGTAATTTCCCATTTGAATTCTTCATTTTATTGATGAATTGTTTGATTAAACGCTTCCTTGACCTATTGGCACTTTCATATCTTTTTGTTTTAATGCTATCTTTTCTGCTTTTTGAGTTAAGAGAGTGTTTAGAGCAGCTCCAGTTCTCCATACTCTGTCCCAGCTGTCTTTACTGCCTTACGTTTATGTTCAGCTTCCTGTAGCTCCACCTCAAGGCGTCTTTGTTCTTTCAACCTTCTTTTATTTTTGGATGAACAGTATGACATAACAAAGCCTCTTACAAAGCTTCAGCTGTGTCCTATAAGTTTGAGAGGTATAAATGTTGTCGTTCTCCTGAATAACAAATTGATCACTATCAAGACTCTGTGGTGCTAGAAAAGATTAAAATGATTGCCATTAAAACACTCAGTGCGTTTACATGCACAGCTTAATCGGACTAAGCTCATAATTCTTTTTTTTTTTCGTACATCGTACAGCGTTGTTTTTGTTGTACATGATGTATGCGCTACTTTCTCTGCAAATGAGATACACCTACTTCTCTTCTCTGGTGTTTTTTGTTCCGGGGTAACAGGGGCATGGCGCACGTGCACATGCATTGTCCGATCATACTCCATCTACGGTAGAGAAAATCGAATTCCAGTTGCATTATCTGGGTTTTTTAATCAGAGTTTTCCAGCTCCAATCGGAGTTCTCAAATTCCAATTATAGTCAGACTAAGGCAGTGGTTTTCGACTGGTCTCACTTTGGGACCCACATTTTCCCATGGTCCCTGAGTCATGACCGACTTTTATAGAATTCAAACAAAGCAAATTTATTTTTTATGAAAAAAAACAAAAAGACTTTAAAGACTCCTATATTTAACATAAATCCATTTGTTTTATTGAATAAAGTGCATTTCAGAGCACATAAAGGGGACAACATGAGGACAACTACTGAAGTTGCATATACAGGACATATCGACTATCTAATAAATATCGTGACCCATCCAGAACATGTCCGCAACCCACTTTTGGGTCGGGACCCACCAGTTGAGAACCACTGGACTAAAGTGTTTACATGCACCTTAGTTGTCCCGTCTTAATTGGAGTAAGGCAATAATTCGGTTTTCTCTTGTGTCATGTAAACGTACTGATTGAATGTATCTGAAGCCAACATTTTCTACCCAATCTTCAAAAATGTCATCAGTAAAGAGGGATTTTTTAACAATCTGGCAACCCAAAAAGCAAATTCATTGTAACGGATGTATGAAGCATCATGACATATGAATCATTGTCAAATGAAACAATGAGCACCATCACAAACACTATCTGACCATTTTTAGTAGAAAACAGTTCTCAAATTAGCACACAGCATTTAAAATCTTATCGATCATTTTGACGGATGTGGTGCCAAATCTGGTGGAGTGCGTACCAGTGAAGCCGCTCGAGGGATCTAATTTAGCTGTGGGTGTGATTGTAGCGTGATTAGTATTTATATGACACATCATCCACAGCACGCCACTCTTGATCTTCCTCTCTCCTCCCTGTTTCAAAGACGAGGCACGTCAGTGATGGGCACCATCTGGCCCTCACTGTTGGCGCGAGTTCGGGCTCTGTGATTATTGCCAAATGGCGTGAACAAGGGACCTCGCTCTCCTTTCTTCTCTTCTTGGTGCTCTCGCTGCCCGTCTGTTTCACACACCCAGCACCTATATATCTGTCATTTCTTCACACAAACAAACTCATAAGCGGATGGATACAAACGTGAGGGATGGATGCAAATTTTACAGCCACAGTGAATATTTTCACAAAATCAGAGCTATGGCAGGAATAAAACGCATCAGCTCTATATGAATGAAGGTGATGTCCATAGTGTATTTTCTGTGTCTCCCTCATGAGCTGCCTGTTGCTCTTTGGCTCAGCCCTGAAGTAAAGATGGATTACTGCAGAAGAACTGCCTGCCCTGCCCTTTACACAATTCTTTCACGCACACGCACATGCACACACACTCACCACTTCTCCATTATCAGCCTCATCCAGGGGGAAGTGGTGCGCATGTGCATAAACACACAAACACGCACATGCTCACACACACACGCAGGTCTGAAGGCTCTGACAGGGTCGTTAGCAAAAGGTCAGAGTCAAGAATCTGACAAATCTTTCTTCAGAGAAACCAAAACCTCTCATATCCAGTTAAACTGAAGCTACACAAGCTCTTGTTTTTTTCCTTTTACTCACTTTTTATTCACTTTGGTCTCCTCGTGTTTCCGCCTGTGTTTTCGCTCTAAAACGCACAGTTAGGTGATAAATCTGTTCATGTCTGGATCAATTTCCCTTCAGGTATGGACAGCTCGGCCATTTGAAATATCTGAAAGGAGTAAATCAAGACTCTGCAGTCAAATGATTATCTTTGTGTTGCTTGGCTGAAGGGGCTTAACCTCTGGACTCAATAGGTGCATTACTGATTGATTGTTTAGCTTGGTAGGTTCTCGTTAGTGCTGAGGATTGATACAGTTTATTTCCACTCCCCAAAGCATAAATACCCCAAAGTATAATGATTTACCTGTTCAATGTTTTCTTGTTCTGTAACTGCTTCTGTAATTGATACAGACAAAATGTTTGTATAGATTAAGTTAAAAAAGGCTTTCCTCTTTGTACCTTTACATTTGCTCCACACCCCATGAAGGACGACAGGTATGAAGAAAAAACAGGCTTATCTGCAAGAAATGACATTGGCTGAAAAAATAATTTAAAGGGTATGAGGGAACAAAATTAGACCTGGATCCTTTTTTTTCAAAGGAGCATTATGTTGTTTGGACCCTCTGTATCTAAATGGGTACTTAAGTACTCCCCTTACTCATCCTCACTAGAGACGATATGCACACGGGTTGCCATGTCACAGACTCCGAAGATTCAGGAGCAAAATAAGGCTGAAACTCGAGTTGACATGTTTTTCACATTTGTGCGATAAACTTAAAGCTCCTGTGAGGAGTTTTTCGAGGGTTTTAAATCCGGCTGAATTGCACAGTGAGGCGTCTATACAGTGTGCAAAAGCAAATAAGATTATTGATCGGTTAAGTGTAATCTTCAAAGACCCACTCCGATGAAAATCATGTTTTTTTTGTCGTCTACATGTTCATATGACATTTTTATGATGCTGCAGGACATATGAAAAAACTAAATGCGAAATTGCTTTTCTGAGTATTTTTTCATTCAAATTGCTGTGAATCTCTGGCAGACCCAAACAGCAGGTTCAGAAACAATGAGATTTCTTATGTAAACAATCCAAGCTCCGCCCCCAGAGCCCCGCTATGCAGGCCAGACTCTGCATATAGAGGAGAAATAGAGAGGACGATCACAGAACAAGCGTATGTGTTAGCGGACTGCAATGCTCTTTAGAAAGCTAATTATAGTAATAACTTTCATCATGTCCCTAAAGACATTAGTATACGAAAGTTGAAGAGCTTCTGTGTTACCTGCCACCTCTACTACACCGGCAATGTTAGGCTGCAAGCTAACGTGAAGACGAGTGTGCAGAGAAGCACTGTCTCTGCCCACAACTCAGAGGTGAATTGCTAATGATCTACTGGAGCTCTGCAGAAGAAAATCCCTTGAAAATGACACAGGTAACGCAATTTTTGGTAAAAAAAAAACAAAAAACAAACAAACTTTAAAGACCATTGAGAACACTTTATGGATAAAAAAAAATGATTGGAGAGGGACTTTAATGTCTGTAACTGCTGTGAGGGGTTAGTACACTGAAGAAAAGCCTTTGTTAGGGATTGATTCATTTCAAAGTAAAAAGGACACAGGAGGAGATTTCTTTCATTATTTAAAACCACTTTCAAGAGGACAAGATAAAAACAGCCAGTTACCATTTTGTCCACATGGGGTGCCAAGGTCAACAAAGACAAATAGTTCCTCATAAGAGCTTTAATGCAGCATTCGAGTTACCTCGGAAGTCAGATGTCGGAGCTGAGAATGATGTCACACCCGAGTTACCAGCGTTTCAGTCGGAAAAAAGGAAAATCAGAGGTGGAAACAAGATGGCTACATCTACGAAAGTTATTTTTGTGATGAATTACCGTAACCTTAAAAGTTCTTATCAACAAAGTCCTTAATTGCTTTTCCTGACTTCAAACAGGAACCTAGCCCTACAGCAGCAGATGCACTAAGGTACAGAGCAAATTGAGAAGAAAGCTACCACTTTAAATGAACAACTAAGAGCTCTTAAGGAGTCAGGAGAGTCGGTTCGTGCTGAGCTAAATGATCTCGATCACCAAAAGAGCCTGAATTCCCGCCACTAAGAACATCTACACTGAGGTTGTTCACAACCAGAGAAGGATGGCCTTTGTAGATTTTAGGTAGTCTGTTGATTCTTTGGACATATGTGTTTGGATTAAATCTTGTACTGGACTTGGATCTTGGAGACCCTCTTTGTTGCAGTTGGAGGAGGGCAAACTGCCAGACCTCAAACAGGCATTGACTTTAACATTGATGTTCCCTTCAATTGATTTTGAACAGACAACATTCAGATCTTTGTAAACAGATTAAAGGCTAACCGGTTACAGTTTTGATTAACTGTGCTTTTGTGTATGGCTGTGTTTACACTGTACTTTCCAGATCCTGTTGGCGTAGTGCTAATTATGTGTAAATCATGATGTAAATTAAAACGTGTCTATGTATGACTCTTAACCACTGGAGCCAGTCTTTCTAGCGATTATCTATTAGCTCCTGTTAGAATGAGAAACCGGCTATGTGTGTTCAATGTTGTTACTTGCTGCCTTGATATGCTGCCAATCCTTAATAGCCGTTTTAAATTAGAAATAAGATAGATTTTTGCTTGCCTCCCTCCTTAGCCTGTCAGGAGAAAAACAGCCAGCTCTAAATCGGCCCTGAAAACTTCCTGCTCTCCAACTTCTCTCCATTTTTCAGAAGAATCTCCAGTATTCATCCAAGTTCTTCTGGTCTTTTAGAAAAAAGCTGAGGTTTTTTAGGTTGGGGAAATCAGTAACTGGGACCTGTTTGCCAGCCTGTAACTGGTCAAGCCAAAGAGGCGTCAAAAACAGCTGTGAGGGAGAGCTTTGAAACCCTACGACCATCGATATAAACCAAATGATGAAAACTTTAGTGGAGGATACGCAGCCTGCCGAATTTTGATTAGAGAAGCCAGTCAGTACGTTTACATGACACTCGAGAAGACTGAATTGTTGCCTTATTCTGATTAAGACCGGACAACTGAAGTGCATATAAACACCTTAGTCTGACTAGTTGGAGAACTCCAATTAAGACACCCAGTTAATGCAATTGGAATTCAATTGCCTCTACCATGTAACTAGTGTAGTCGGAGTATGATGCATGTGCATGTGCACCACGCCCCCTTAACTCCAGAAGAAAAACACCAGAGAAGAGGAATAGCATGCATCTCACCTGCAGAAAAAGTAGCACGTACATCGTGTACAACAAAAACAACAGCGTCTGACGCCCCCTAGTTTTGGGAAGGAGGACATGTTTATGTCAATAATTTAATTTTCTCCGCTGCATGTATATGCAGACAAGGAGAGAAGTCCAATTCGGCGAAAAAAAAAAACGAATTATGAGCTTAGTCTGATACAAGGTCCTTTCACACCGGGACTGTTTTTTTCATGCGATTATTTCGAACGTCAATATTTATTTTCAAACCCACATCCTGTCAATACAAGCCTTAACATCAGCAACGTTTTCCCCTCCTGCAATATTGTGGCATTTATTTTTGAGGTCACGGCTGAGTTTTCCAAAGTTTTGTATACTGTGTGTCCACTTCTGACCAATCAGATTTCGTATTGTTGCGACGTCAGATTCACCGGTATATCCAACATGGACGACCGGCTGATTGTTTATGTGTTGGAGAACAGAGTGTTTTTTGACAAAAGACACAAACATTACGAAGAGAACGACCTGAAGGACAACTTGTGGCGAGTCATAGCGTCAGATCTCTCATATGACGATGGTTTGTGTGTTTTAATAGTTTGCTAAACGTCTTTGTTTTAACTTTCATCTGTGCTAAGTAACTTTAGCTCGTAAGCTAACCTGTTCAGATACAACATACTATCTGTATTTTCACTGTCTCAAACTCAATCACGTTGCTGTCACAGCACCATTAGGTCTCGGTTGTTACCTTACGTTCATGGATTATAGTTTAATGTGCTTATCTGCTACTGACCCCGACTCAGTCCATGCAATCATGACAGACAGACATCTCAACACAAGTGTCTAATCAGAACTAAAAACAGTCAGTATCGCATCGCGCTTGATGTGTATAGTCAGGCGTGTCAAAATTCGCCTCCAAATATTTCGTAATTTCGCGTCGTATATTTGCGATGGTCCTGGTGTGTAAAGACCTTAAGCTGTGCATGTAAACGCACTGAGTTTAACATCATAGCTTTCTGCTTTTTTTGTTTGAGCAGGACAACTTTGAGTTGTTGTTACCGATTAGGTCATCTGCCACTGTTGCGGTAAGCTATATCTGACATTACTAAAAAATGTGGTTGAAAATCTGAACTTAGTTAGACACTTAAAACAAATGCTCCAGAAGTGGTAGACAAAAAGACAAGAGAAGTTCTGCACTTCATCGGACCACGAGGATGAATAACCCATCCCTTCATACTGCTGAGGAAGTGCTGCCAGGAACACAACCCAGGATATGAAGTGTTTGCAATAAAACATTTCTGAGGAGCAGAGTAGTTCATCTACTGTTTGGCTCTGATCAGGTATTGTAAAGTTAGTTGTGAAAGTTTTCCCCTGAAAAAGATGTCTGCTCTGCCTGAAATCGTCTCTGTCCAGCTAAGGATAGCCATAGATTCAGATGATGTCTCTCTTCAGGTACATCACTAGTTAGAACCTTTTCAATCCTATAATTATCGTCCTCTGAGACAATTTATAGTAAAGCCAATACCAGGGTTACGATCAATAATAAAGATTTGAAGAAACTGGAAAAAATTGACTGTTGTTCATGAGATCAGGACTCGCTAAACGCCCTTGTTCAACCCTGAACCCTTGGCTGCCTGTCTTTGCTTTTCACTGTTACCTCTTTAAATTCATATTATGTGCTTGCACAAAAACACATTTTTTTCTGTCACTGTTACGTATCCTCTGCTCCATTTCCTCTTTCTGTCGCTTTGCTTAGACTTTGTTGCCTCTTCAAATGCAGATGCACTTTTCCTCTCCTTCTCCTCCTCCTCCTCTCTCTTAAACTCTATTTTTTTTTCCTGGGAATTCATCTTATATTCTATTCAGTCAGGTCTTTTCACTCCCTGTTATGATAATGGCAGAGGACTGTCAATGTTTAATGAACGGCTGGAGGCTGGATACAGGTTCAGAAATATCTTTGTGACCGTGAACATGAGAAGTTCATCTATAATTTGCTTGCACATCACTGTGTGCTGAGGAGCTCAGCTAAAAGTGCGCACACTAGGGCTCGGATTTATTTTGGACAAGTTTCTGCTCATTTGCTCCCTCTATGTATAGTGTGGATTTTGGTTTCCCTGAATAAACTGCGCAGAAACACCTTGGGTTCTGGTTCATTTGACTGTGGAAGGAAAAGCAAAGCTGTAAGTCTTTGCCTGGGCAATCTTTCCTCCACACCTCCTCCTCCCTGACGCTCCTCTCCTCTCACCCCTCTCCCCTGCTGTGAGTTTGCACCACTTCTCCTCAACCCCATTTAGGTGTGAAATGTATTTATATTCAAAGCGCAGAAAAATGGGGAAATGTGGGGAGAGAGTGGAGGAAGTGACACAAGCAATCTACTGGAAAAGGCGCCTCTTTCTGATGTCTGTAGAGCACCGTATTCCTCCGGATAAAAAACAGGACAATGAGAAGCTGTCAGTAGCTTTGGGCCAGTGTTGGGAGCCCGTGGAGGGTATTTGAATTGGACTGCTATGCTCTTTCTGGGCCACATGAGAAAGTGAATCAAAGGTGGTGAAAGGAAACGTGAGCCCAAGCTGAGAAGTAGCACTCTGGAGACTGAAGCACATTATAGAGGGCATGAGGTGTGTGAATGAGGCCTCCATGCACCACAGCCCACAGCTCTTCACACTGAATGAGTGACAGCAAAGACTCTGCACCTTGTTCTGACCAATTTAATATAAAATCAAGAGTAGAAGGTGCAATCCTTCCTCTCTGGTCTACATCTGTCTTGTAGGCTGGGAATCACCATATCTTTACAGCTCAACGTGGCCTATCACCCCTCTCGAAAATTACACCTCCAAACGTAGATCTGCTCATGACACCTGAAATCTCCAAGAGGAGAAACCTGCGAGTGGAATCGTCTCTTTCTGTGCAAGGGGAAGCTACCCCCCCTTAACAGAAGGCTAAAATTTTCTTTATTGATAGAGCTTATACCATATGGACTAGGGCCCAACCAATTTATCAGCGAGACGATTAGATCGGTCAATATCAGCCCGTTTGAGACTAATCAGTAATCGGCCAAAACTCACTGATTTTCACCAATATTTTTAGAAATAAAATGCGGAAAATAAGATTCTGTTTCACTTCAAAAATGTTCCGCCATTTGAAAAGTTCCCCGACTTATCCTGTAGATGGCGCAGTGACCTCATGACAATCTTCATCCACTAACTACCTCACAACACAGCAGAGTGAGGGATCTGAAGCAAGCAGCTCAGGGACGCACGGAGGAGAGTGGTCCGCCTCAACGGTAAATAAACTAGTTTGTGAAATACACAATAAGTCAACAAGTTTCAGTTCAACCCACTTCACGATGTTCCCTGCTTTGAAAACGCTTTTCTGATCCGAGTTTGATCAGTCGGTCTTCCTGTTGACATGAAGAGCAGTAGCCTACAGTAAATCGACAGTATATAGTATAAAATCTACAGTATATAGTATACTGTAGATATCTACAGTGTATATATATATATATATTTTTTTTTTATAACTTCATAAAAGTTAATAATATCGGCCGATCAATCGGTAATTGGATTTCCTCCCTCCCTAATAATCGGTATCTGCATCGTCCCCAAAAAATCCATAATATCGACCCAATTACAGGTCGAGTCTTTTTCCTCTTAACAATTCTATAAAAAAATTGACATCTTAAAACTGAGATTTAGTCAGTAAACGAAAGAATTTGTCACAACAAATGCTTTATATCTGTAAAGAAAGTGTTCTTGAAAAATGGAACGACAAGGTGAATAACTTCCTCAAAAGTAACACGTGGTAATCAACAACTGAAGCGGAGGTATATTGCATTTTCGCAGAAATTGGTTATTAAATCAACAGAGACATTAAATGACTGTGACACTTCCAAGAGATATGGTGTCACGGGGAGTAAAGTCAAAAGATAGCGAGCCAGAGAAGATGAGATTGATAATAAAAAACAGAATGAAAGTACACCCATTAGTGAACCTGTCATCCCTCCAATATACCTCAGGTTATTTAAGCTTGGGAGATATTAAAATACTGCTACCATAAGAGCTTCATTTATACATGATCACATTTAATTACATTTCAGTGTCACAATGTAATGCTAAAATAAATCAAGGTGCTTGTTTTTCATTAATTTAAATAAGAATTGACATTTTTTTCTTTTTTTGAAATTCTTTCAAAGCTTCATCTTGAATAGAGGAGGAGGGATAAAGTTGTCTTATAATGAGAGTCATAAATTCATGTAATCAGATCATTATTTTAGTTGTATTCATTTACAGTGGTTGGCAAAGTCTACAGCTTCATCACTTGAGTCGAAGTAGGCCAATTTAAGTAAAAGTTGTTGTGGTTGAAGTACAGGAGTACTTGTTTTTTTAGAAAAAAAGAAAAAGTATTCAAACAGTGTTTTAAAGATAAAGTCAGAATAAAACCTGAATCTAAATGATGATGAGAACTTACAACATCTCAAGAAATGAAATTGATGCAGACGTGCTAAAAACTGCAGTTCCGCCAGTGTCCCCTTGAGGCAGGCTGCAGAGGCCACAGAAACCATCCACACTAAGCCAAAAAACAAGCCAATTTTTAGAGTAAAAACAAACATTTTCACAGCCTGGTTAAAGAATGCTGGACATGTTGGATCAGGTTAAAGGGCAAATTATGGTAGACTATAATGAAGACTCGCAACGTACGGGCACATACAACGCCACTCAGACAAACCATGCACCAAGCTACTCAAACACAGTCTTTTTAGTCTGTTGTACTAAATTTTAGAAAAGGAAAAACTCATTACTTGCCTCAAAGCAAAAGAAGTGAGTTATGAGAATATTTGTAGAAATGTTGTGGTTCATAGTATGCTGATTTTGTTTTAAATGTAGTGGAGTAAAAGTAAAAAGTTTCCTTAAAAAGTGTTAATCCAGTCAAGTTCAAACTTTTTAAGGAAAATTAAATGTATTGCTATTGTTTAATTTAACATGTTTTAATTAAATTTAAACAGTTTTTATTATCATTATTAACATCGTCTTTTTCTATTTACTAGCCTGTTTCCGGTTTTCTACCCCCCCTTTTTTTATTACATTGCTTTTTCTTACCTATTTTATGTTTTTACATTTTGGTCCTCATGGTCACATTTTATGTTGTAAGGTTCTTGTATTGTCTGGGTTTCTTATGACAAATGAAATTGGCCTTCAATTCAGAGGCCTTGTTTTTAACTGAGCTTTTGTTTTTTATTTGTTTTTATTTCCATGTGCTTAATGTTCTGTGCTTTAAGACAGTTCGTCAAAGCACTTTGTAAACTTTTGTTTTTAAACGTGCTATAAAAATAAAGTTATTATTATGTTGTGGTCCTACTTGTTGTAACGCTAATATAGCTGTACATAAAGCCTCTTCTGTTTATCTGTATACAGCTTCTATTAAAGAGACCTTTTGCTGTTTCTCCATCTCCCTGACTACCTGTCTGCATGTTTTCTTCCTAACCCCCATTTTTTGGCCCATCCTAACGTCACAGCTGTCTCAAATAAAGTTTTTTTTCCCCCACTTTTGCCTTGTTCATCTGAATGAATAGTACAACAAAGGGCACTGCTGAGAGGTGCCTTCAGTGTTAAGTGTCACTCTGTACTGTGCGGTTTGGGTCATACTGAAAAAAAAAGGCTGGTGGATGGAAGTAAAACTAAGGGTAACAGTTTCCTAAACCTTAACCCACAAAAAAATGCTCTTCATGTTGTTTCTGCACATGCCCATCAGGCTATATTATCTAACAATGCAAGACAAGCAGTACTGCGCCATCATTGGGGACAAACGTGTCTGGCAGTCATCTCTCTACCGCACCGAGCCAAAGGAGCCATGTCTCCGGGTCTCTTTTAACACTATTATTACTTTTTAAAATCTTTTAAAGCCACTGTGATGAATTTTTAATGCAGATGAATATTTCACCGCACACCAGAGTTAGGCAAAGAGAGAGGAAGAGGTACGAATCACTGAGGGATACACGGCGGGAGAGAAAAAAAAAGTTGGAGATATTGATATGCATGAAGAGTCATCCAAAATTTCCCTCCCCTGTGCCCAGACTCTCTTATGCTCCACCAACTCACTCTCTGGTCTATCGCAATCGAAGGACAGCGTGCAAGTTTCCAGGTCCGTCATGCGTTGTCGTGTCAGCGAAGATGTGCGTCAGGAAGCGCTGATTCATGATGGGTGTGTGGTGATGAGTTGTTACTGTAGGCGCTGTCACAAAATGTTCGTCTCAAAGCCCTCCTAATGGATCCGTCTGCAGCCTTCGTCCTACGAGTCTCAGTGGATGAAACCTCCACCCTACCATCACCACCACCAACACCACCAACGCCACTACGCCTGGCATGCATATGCATAACACAGATGTGAAGAGGCAGTCATTGACAAACAGGATGCTCAAAAAAGGCAGCACAGGCTGTAAATGAGAGAGAAAACAATACGAGTGTGAAACGAGGCCGCAGTACAGATTTCAAACAAGGATGACTGGCATCCCCAACAAGAGGGAGACAGAAAGAGGAAGAGTGCTTCCTCAGCACCCTTTTTTTCTCAATCATCTGCTGTTCAGTCAAGGCAATGACAGATTGTGTTTGTAAAAAAAGAAACTCTTAGTGGACTCGTAGTTTGGCTGAAAAGCGTACGGTCCAGAGAGTCATTAATCCATCTCCCATCGAGCTCCTCCTGAAATGCGTGATCGAGCAATAGACAAAGCGGAAGCAGAGATAAAGCAGCGAAGTGCAGATTTGATTAGGCTGCCATCTCTGTGCACTCCACAGGGATTAGGAAGCACACTTTCTTCTTAGACCTTGGCACTTTTTTCCATACGTACCATTCGCCATGAGCAAAAAGAATAATGCAGTGATTAACAATCCTGTGAAATCATAGTCACATTAACACAAAGTTTATGCGCTACTGCTATCTGATAAATATCATCATATGAATCATGCATTATTCTTCCTGTAATGTGAGACCATTTAAAAGTAGAACAAATGAGGAGCTTATCCACGCATCCTTGCTCGCTGTGTACAAGTGTTAATTTCTGTAATTATGAACATTAGACCTCAGAGTTAGCACCACCACTGTTTTAAGGGAAAATGTGTCGTGATTTAGCTGCTACATACCCCCTTATCAAAGACATTTAGTCACATATATGCCTGGATTAGGGTGCTGTTTACTGGCTCTACACTTTAAGAACTGTACCTCAAAGGTGGGGTAGGCAGGAATCTGTTAAATAAGGATCTTTTTTTGTGGTGTATATACAAAAAGCTTCTAATATCAGTCAATAGCTATTAGTTATTGATGACATTTAGGAACATATTGATAACGCTGTGTTTTGTTTTGTCTGTGTAGTCAACGTTTTAAATTTTTTGAGCGCTCCGCTCTTTCTGACTGTAAGCAAAACCATTCTCCACCTCCCCCAACCTGATTGGTTGTGAGGCAGATGCTGCTCCCCCATGTTGTGAGGCAGACGCTGCTACCCCGTGTCATTCACAAGCCCAAACTAAGTTAGCGTGTTACAATATCAGACAGTATAAACCAACCAGAAAGTACAGAAAATTGTCTGAATCCTCCTTTGGCCACGACTGCCAACACAAGTATGTGTGTTGCCCATGTCAATATATTCGGTGTCAGAAAATAGATAAATAAAAGTTGGTTTTGGATGTGTTTAGGTAGGCTATGGTCTCATGTCCCTTTAAGACGTTGTCCTATGTCAGAGACTTGACCCCACGCCATCCAGTCCGTAACGAAGAGGGAAAGACAGGTGAGGAGATGGAGGACGGTTCAAAAGTTGTAGCGGCAGGAGCGGTGGCCGAAGTAGATGAAGTTAATGTGGGAGGGGGTGAGCAATTTGTGGAGTAGTTATTTTCCATTTATCATTGTTGAGGCTGACTGCTTAATATATCGTGATATTAATTTGAGGCTATATCGCCCAGCCCTATTAGTTATTGTGAATAATTAAGGGGGATTTTTTAAAAACAGGGTTGTTTCTACACCTACCCCTGTGCACGAGTAGGCATAAAAATTACATAATAAAAATCATCAATCTTGTCCCTGATAGTCTTGATTGCTTTTGGACATCGCAAAAAGACATTAATTTGATTTCAAGTCTGTTTCATATGTATAAAAAAGTCCCTATTGGAGCTTTAAATCTTAAAAAGTAGTTTTGGAGGTTTAGTCTTCAGTTATTAGGAATGATCCAAGAGTGCACTTAATACTTTCTTTTTTAATTACCCTTGCAGTTTAGACTCAGACCAGCCCCTAGCTATGTTGAATATTAGGCTTAATAAATTTAACAAGCTTCAGATCTTTATAACTTATTAATGTTAGCAGGCATATACTCCTGGAGACTCTTAGAGATCCTCAGAGTTTCCTGTGAATTGTTGCTGCAGAAAACCAGCTGCTTCCTATCCAACTGTAACTGCTAAAACTTTCAATATGAGTCCTGCTCATATTATCGTTATCGAATTTTTATTTTGATTGTTTATTTTTCCCAAAATTGGGTTATTATTGGCATTCTCACCATAAAGGTCCTTTCACATCGGGACCGTTTTTATTGTGTGATTATTTTGGACGTCAATATCTTTTTTGAACCCGTATCCTGTCAATACAAGCGTTCACATCAGCGACGTTTTCCCGTCCTGTGATACTGTGGCATTTATTTTTTCATTTCACGGTCGATTTTTCTAAAATTTAGCATACTGTGTGTGTCCACTCCTGACCAATCAGATTTCATGTTGTTGCGTCGTCAGATTCACCGGTATATCCAACACTCGACCGGCTGATTGTTTACGTGTTGGAGAACAGAGTGCTTTTTGATAAAAGACACAAACATTACAAAGAGAACGACCTGAAGGACAACTTGTGGAGAGTCATAGCGTCGGATCTCTCATATGACGATGGTTTGTGTGCTTTAACTGTTTGCTAAACATCTTTGTTTTAATTTTCATCTGTGCTAAGTAACTTTAGCTCATAAGCTAACCTGTTCAGATACAACATACCATATGAATTTTCACTGTCTCAAACTCAATCGCGTTGCCGTCACAGCACCATTAGGTCTCAGTTGTTACCTTACGTTTATGGATTATAGTTTAATGTGCTTATCTGGTACTCGCCCCGACTCAGTACATGCTATCATGACAGACAGACATCTCAACACTAGTGTCTAATCAGAACTGAAAAACAATCACCCGGGCCGCGCAAAATCGCATCGGGCTTGATGTGTATAGTCAGGCGCGTCAAAATTCACCTCCGAATATTTCGTCATTTTGCGTTCTATATTTGTGTTGTTTCCGGTGTGTAAGGACCTTAAGTCTGTATAATCTGGTGTTGTAAAAAATTAGAATTGATTGATTGATTGATCTTAGAGGCTTTTTACTAATTGCCATTTTAGACTTCTCTTACTGCAAATGTTCATTTTAATCAAAGTTCTTAATGTTTATCTTATGTCATTCTATTCATTATCTCTGTTCTTAGCATTTTTTAATTTACTGTCACAGGTTTTTACTTCTTTTACCCCTTTTATTTATTTGTTCATTTAATATTATTATTTTCTTATTTAAGTCCATCAGGTTTTACTCTTTTCACAATTTTTATCTTTATTTTTATCTCCAGTGTTTCCTAAAGGTAGCTCGTTCCTCATGAAATGTCTCGGTGTCAGGCCATGTCTCTTTAAAATTTTATCTTAAATTCTCACACTGTGTGCGGTTGTGTGTGTTTGTGTATGTGAGGGTGTGTGTGTGTGTGTGTGTGTGTGTGTGTGTGTGTGTGTGTGTGTGTGGGTCCATGGGTGTGTGTGTGTGTGTGTGTGGGTCCATGGGTGTGTGGGTGGGTGGAAGGGTTGGGTTTTTGTCTTTATTTTTGTTTTTAGCCTCTGTGAGGCACTTTGAATTGCATCTCCTTTTGTATGAAAAGTGCCATATAAATAAAGTTGAAATGAATTGAATTGAATTGAATTAAGTGTGTCAACTATGACTCTTGACAACCTCCTATGTTTTGCTTCCCTCATAATTACTGCAGCCACAAAGCATCTCTACCATTCAGGTGGTACATCACATAATCAAAGACAAATGATAAATCAATTTAAGGATAGAAGATCCTGTTTTATCATGAGCCTGTAAGCAAAAAAATGACCTAAAGAGACCTGAAAGACTTTATAAAACTGAATGGAAGTATAGACTCAAAGGCAGCCCTGAAATAAAAGGTTTTCTGATATTCAATTTATGTGAGTCATTTCTATAGGTGGCTCTATGACTTTGAAATGCATATTATTTTGTTTTTCTCCCCCGTATAAATCCTGTCCAAGCTCTCAGCTAGATTAATAGTTTAGTAGTGTGCTGAGCTCTGCCTTTCTTTGAGGACTCAGACTTCTACAAGAGGCTTTTTTAATTGATGGAATCTGTCCTGTCACATATCATGGCTTTTCCATCACTCAGTCCTTTTCAGGCTTCACTTGATCTTTTTTTTCCCCTTCTCTTTAAACACCTTTTTTTTCTCCACTGCTGCCAAATTCTCCTTTCAGACTTGGCTCAAGTAGAGCCGCAAAGAAAATGAAAATCTCCTCCCCTTTCAAAGCGGGGAAATCCTCTTGTCACACATGAAAGAAGCATGTCGACTTGACAGGTCGATTGAGTGATAAGAGTTTGTCTGACCATGAAGGAGTAGACGTGAGATGTTGACTAAGCAGTGAAATATGGAGCGCTATATGTCAAAAGACATGATGATAAAGCACGACGTAAAGAAAAACCATCAATTCTCCTCATTTTTTTCTCTCTGTGTATCTTTTGTTTAAAATGCGAAGCTGCTGGTTCTTCGTGAACTGTAACACTCTCTGCAATCTTTAATCTTTCACGATGAAGCTGTGATGATTTTCTGGATGAATCATTTTCTTTATAGGTTCCTCTCTCTCTTGTTATATTTCAGATCTCAGATCTTTCTCCTTGATTCTCCCCCTCTCTCATCTCTCTTATCTTCGACTGACTATCTCCTTGTCTTTCCCCACTCTCTCCTCTCCTTCCTCGTTTCTTGTTAGAGGAGTTTTGATAAACAGTATAAATATTGTTACAGAGAGTAACCGTATTATAACAGTATTTTCATTGGACTCAGCTTGAGTGATAATTTCATTTCTTTCATGATGAGGTTGTGTTGATGCTGTGTTGTAGCTACAGGAAACACCTTATTAGCGCCTCTGAGTGATAAATAATAAATGAGTGAGTAGGTGAGTACACACAATCAAATCACCGAGAGCAATCGGTCCGAGGTGCACACACGCCACATTTCACAGCTCCAGTCCACAATTAAGATGACTGATGATGAAAGTTGTCCTTTTAATTGAGTTATGCTTCCCCAGATTTATGACAAACATTACCCCTCAAAGGTGTTTACATGGAAGTTTAATCAATCAGAGTTCTGACTGAGCGCAACGTGCAATCAGTATCATGTTTGCTACACAGCAGCCTTAGATACCTTCATCAGCAACATCAATTATAGCCTAACAAACATGTTGCTCACAAAACATGGTGGATGACCTGAGTTAATCTGGATCTTAACTCTAAGAGCTGATGTTAAATCACATCACTGACCAAGGTGGATAAATGGATTTCACTGATTACATTATGGCAGAAACAAAAAAAGTCAGTATCTTCTTATACTGATGTGAATCAAATGTATCTAAGAACAGTTATTTTGTGGTTTCAATCTGAAAACTGCTTTGTGGTCAAAATATAACCCTTAGTATTCCAATATAACACAATTCTCTTATGGAGTAATCGTACCAATCTGATATTAAATATTGACGAGTAAAGCTATTTTAATCTAAATCGATCAATAAATCAATCTTTATTTATATCTATATGTATGTAAATATGTGTACACATCTATCCATCTCGCTCTCTCTCTGTTTTTCTATATCTTTTTTATGTCTATAAATCTTCTACATATCTTTACCAATATCTAAGTGTGCAGTAATAGTGTGCAGTATCTTTATTGATAGCTATCTATATGTATATCAGTCTATCTGTGTTTATATCTATCTTTCTGCCTCTGCCTCTCTCTCTACATATATATCTACATGTATTTATTTTTTTATACAGAAAGATAGATAGATTTGGATATACTGTATGTTTGGGCCCAACCGATTTATCGGCAAGCCGATTTAATCGGCCAATTTTAGCCCATTTGAGACTAATCGGTAAACGGCCAAAACTCTCGGTTTTCGACGATATTTTCAGAAATAAAATGCTGAGAATAAGATTCAGTTTCACTTCAAAAATGTTTCGCCACTTGAAAAGTTCCCCGACTTATCCTGTAGATGGTGCAGCGACCTCATGACAATGAGGGTAGTTGAAAACGCTTTTCTCGTCCAAGTATGATCAGTCGGTCTTCCTGTAAGCGTGAAGAGCAGTAGCCTAGAGTATATCTACAGTATATAGTATACTATATAGTATACTGTAGATATCTGCAGTATATATATATTTTTTATAACTTAATAAAAAAACATAAAAAATTGGCAGATTAATCGGTAATTGGATTCCCCCCCCCCAATAATTGGTATTGGCATCTGCCCTAAAAAAACATACTGTGAAATACTTGAAAAGCCATATACTGTATATATATATATATGGCTTTTCAATTATTTCAGACAGGAAATAAACATGATATAGAGGTTTTGACATTATAACTTTAAAAAATTAAGTATGTGTCAAACAGGCTTTCATAGTGTCTCAGACAGGATGATAAAATATATGATATGTAGGTTCTGACACCATGACATGTCTAAAAATACTGCATATACATAAGATCAGATGTTTTACAGTGTCAGAGAAAGCTAAAATATACAAATGAATAGAGAAAAAAAAAATCTAACATGTTTTTTAAAGGTCAAATATAGTTAAATGTCCAATTTACACAAAATGCGTCCAGAACCAGATGTTTGAAAAATAGAGAGTAAAGATAAAAATGTTACCCGAGTGAAAAATGATCACTTAGAGAAAATTAAAATATATCTGAACAGGAAATCACTCTGAATAAAGTCTCTATGTCTTTTTCCTCTGCCTCCACAAGATTTATTTTTCCACTAATAACCCATATTAATTTTTCATGCAATTTTGACATTTACAAGTAAGAGACAGGGATTTTAATTTTATAGCAATCCACACTTTTCATCCTGCCTTCCTTCACCCTCCTGTAAAGTGTGAAATCCTGTTTGTTAATTAATTGATTTCAATTGAAATCTCAGAGCGGAATAATTACGCAGTAACTCTGCAAATGTGCATGAATATGTGTTTAGCGTGTGTGTGTGTGTGTGTGTGTGTGTGTGCTGTATTTTGAGTACTGTGTGCATCTATGTGTGGATGTATTAGTGTGTACTTGATACCTTGTGCTTCTGTATGGATCTGTTTCTAGAAGGACAAGCATAGAAGTAAAAGTAAAGGAAGAGAGAAAAAGTGGGCACAGGAATGCATGACCAAAGTCTGTGTTTGTGTTCGCATCATTAAACCTGACAGTCTGCATTCGAGAGCTTGCGTGTGCGGCCACTGAGTCTTTACAAATCCCTCATAACTGTGCTCAACCTGCAGCAGTGTTTGTACAATGAGTGGCCACACTCAACGTGCTGCATCCGGCTGTGCTGTCACACCGAGCAGAAAGACAAATCCTTCCAAGTCGTAAAACTGAACTCCCTCCCAAAAGTGATGTGATTGAAAATGACAGCATGATGCACATAACTGTGCACCTAGACACGCACTGAGCGCCCAGTGCTCCAATGTAAAAGAAGTGATAAATATGTAGATATTCATGCTTCCATACCTGTAGATGATGCAGGCGCAGTCCCTGCAGGTCCCACAGTTCTCAATGTCCTGTCCGGTTCGGTATGAATGTCTTCTGTGGAGAAGCACGGAGATGACATATCAGGGGTACAAGAGTGATTTTCATGTGCGTGTGTGCTTGCAGGAGACATATTCAGGTTATGGTTTCCCCCGTTGGACCAAATTTCTGGCACTTACTTCCCTACAAATAAAGCAATCTCCCTTCTGAAATCACCCCTGATCATTTTTTAATGAATGATTCTCTGTTCCAACGGGCTCCGGCGGTTACGTAAAACATGAGTCACTACATCACTCCGGGCATAAGATAATGCTTATGAGGTAAAAGTCAAGTCTGCATGCATTAGACTTAGCCCTGTCACTGATTTCTTGTACCGGAACACGCAAGATATGTCACTTTATGAGATGGAGGGCCATGCAGTCATATGTTTAAAAGACTGCAAAGTATAGTGTTAGCATCAGCGTTACCAGCATGATTTGGATTATGCTGCTCAGATATCAGTCAAGCCTTTCCATGGATTCATAGACACACATCTATCCTTGTCTATCTGTTCCAATTTTGGTGTGATAAGGCGGGAGAAATTACTAAGAAGCTTACAATGTGGGAAGGAGATTAATTAAAGTCTTGACGAGAATGGTAAAAGGTTTACACTAAGAGGCATATGAAACCACCAACATGATGACAGCTGCATGCTGATTCCTATCTATTCCCGCCTGCTACATACATGCATGAGTGAAAACAGCGGCTGCGAAATGGGTGAAATCGAGCTCCAAAAGTGCTCCCTGTGGTCTGACCTGACGTGAATTTTTCAGCACATCAAGAGTTGTGACTGAGTCACATGACTAACACGAATCTCCATAAAAATAATAACAGCCCCCCTCTTCTGTCTTGCATACCAGTGTAGTGTTTCATTTTCTCACCCTGCTGTTTTTGTTACTTCTCTCTCTCTCTTTCTATTGCCCTCTCATTTGCACCAAAATTGAAATTGTGTACTGTCCACACTTTGTTGCCGAAGTATTCACAGAGCCAGGATTGGCTATAAAAAAAGGGGGGCCACATCACAGCAAAGCTCAGGCACAACAGCCATCCATCTTTAGTATTCACGGCACATGATGCAGAGAGGTTATTAGCACTGATGTAGATGCTCCTCTTTTTGAAATGTAATCAGCCAATGAAAACCAGCTTATTTCAGCTTGTCAGCTGCCGTCACGTTTTCATGTCTGCTCTTCATTTGCTTTTATGAGGAGGGAAGAAGATTGAGAAATTACCTAGTGAATGAAACAGTGAACTGGACACCAAGGCTGCGACATAGTCCATCAGTTCATTTGATTCTAATTCCCTGTCTATCTGTCTGTCTATGTATATATGCATCTCTGTATCTATCCAGCTACATATCCTTGTTTTTATCGATGTATCTATGCATCCATTTTTTATCTATGTATCTACGCAACAGTGTATCTATCAATCTATGCATCTGTTTTTATCAATGCATCTATGTATCTATCTATGTATCTATGCATCTATGTATCTGTCTGTGTATCTATGCATCTATGTATCTGTCTGTGTATCTATGCCTGCATTGATTTATCAATGTTTCTTTCTATCTGAAAGAGAAAGTTTGACTTAGATGTTGGCCACATCTATGTATCTCTGCATCTATGTTTTTATCTACGTATCTATGCATCTATGAATCTATCTATGCATCTCTGTTTTATCTATGAATCTATGCATCTATCTATGTTTCTCTGTATCTATGTTTTTATTAATCTATTTATGCGCATCTATGTTTTTATCTATGTGTCTATAGTTCGATGAATCTATGCATCTTTGTATCTATCTATGAATGGATGCATCTGTATATCTATGTATCTATGCATCCCTTGATACATCTATGTTGTCTATGTTTATAGAAAGTTTGGAGTAAATGTTTGCCACATCTATGTATCTATGCGCATCTATGTTTTTATCTATGAACCCTTTGCATCTATGTTTTTATTTATGTGTCTATGCATCTATGTTTTCATCTTTGTATCCATGCATCTATGTGTCTATCTATGCATCTATGTTTTCTATCAATGTATCTATGTGCATCTATGTTTTTATCCATGCGCATCTATGTTTTTATCTATGAATCTATGCGTCATGTTTTTATCTATGTATCTATTTTTCTATGTATCTATCTATGCATCTATGTTTTTATCTATTTATCTATGCATCTATGTATCTATCTATGTATTTATGTTTTTATCTATCTATCTGAAGGAGAGAGTTTGATGTAAATTTTGGCCACAGATTAGCAGAAGGCTCTTTACACTTCTCTAGGCCTCTGGGTTAAGAGCTCCGGTGTTAGGAGGGTTTACAGCCCCATTAGCCTCAGGCCTCCAGTCTTTTCACATTTACAACTTCAAATGTGGGAAAGCTCTTCTTTTGGCCCAGGACTTTCACACTACATTTCAACCAGGACAAGCCCCCCTTAAAAACCCAGATTTAACCGTAGGCTACGCTGCATTTCACACTTCTGTTAACACCTTCTTTGAACACACACACACCTTGGACTTGTGGTGCAAAGAATAATATTGAACCTGGGTCATGTACTCTACAATATGGGAACTCAGGATTGAAACACATTGGATAGACTTTTCACCTTTCCAATGTGCTTTCACTGGAGCAAGAAAAGTCCACTCCAAGTTAGCACTTAAAGCCTCAAACTAAATCTCAATCCATGCAGGGCTAACGCTTACAGATATCAGTTTTGGTTTGTAATTTTATTATACATGTGTAACATTGTGTTGTGTGTTATGAAAGCCAAACCATTTGAGAGATCTTTACAATATATAACATTTTTATGACACTGGAATGTCCATGGAGACTCTGACAGTCTGACCCTATTGTTATTATCAGATTACTATTGACAAGCCTTAACTGCAGGTGTGAAAGCACATGGATGTGTGCTGAAATCGGGTCAGTCAATCCAGATAAAGATGTGGTCTGCACAGAGACATTTGCCCACACTGGTCTGATAGTGCACGCTCATGTGTACTGGGCCAGTATTAGGACTGCCTACTCTCTCTGTATCCACATCAATGATAATATGAGATAACAGACCCCCCCGCTTGATTTTTTTAATTTAAATCCTTAATTTGAATTTACTTGTTATTCCAGCACGTAGAAACAGTATATTCACTAAAATGAAGTGCACGCAAAAATACTGGATAAAACATGTCTGCATACACTGGAGGAGACTGCGTTTAAGTAATCTATTCAGAAATATTATTTAAATATCTATGATAACAATCAATGGGCATATAAGTCCTACTGTCTTCCATTATTTGTAATTACAGTGAAGATACAGATGATTCACTATCTCTTTATCTGCTTCATCATTGATTCCTTAATGACATGATTGGGGAGGTGACCCAAGAGTTTGTCTTTTCCCTCTCTCATGACCGATTTAATTTTTTTCTCACCTTATCTTCTGAAATCAGTATTTTTTAATCTACTTTTTAAATTAACATATGAAGACATAGTCTTTGGTGTACTTGAGATGGGGAAAGACATCCCCTAATACCTTTATGTGTGGGAAAAAAACAATTATGTGCAATTGTGTGTCATTCATTTTGTGTTTTCTTTATTATTTATTTACAAAAATGCGGGGTATTTATTTTTAGTCATTAAAAACTTACTGGGGGAGGCCCTGCTCTCAGTCCTTGTGCCTCAGTATGTCTAAATGAACCCTTAGCTGTGGGTATCAGGGGGTTGGAAAATTACTTAAATCCTGTGAACTCTACCTAATGTGCACCTGAAATTTAATTGACTAAATTTCATCTAATTTTTGCCTGCCTTTATTTCTAACAGGCTGGAACTGGGACGGTGCAACCTCCCTGTCATTACAGATTGTCGAGGAAGGATGAAAAATTAAGGTCTTCAAAAATGCTGCTCAAGGACGATCTTCTTTAATCGCAGCTGTCTGTGTGCAGGAAGAGCCCCTTTTTTGCTTGCCCCTGCCCCTCAGAGATCTTGAGTACACCACCGATATAGCCATTGTTAAATACAGAACAATTCTGCATTGAGGAGAAGACCTAAGTATCAGACGTGATCAACGAGTTTGACAGTGTTTCACGTTAGTGTGAGTAGAAGTACAGATAATTCCCTGGTGTGTCTGTCGGTTTTTCATGCTCTGCATGTCCTGTATTTAAGTGCACACCCTCAAATATTTCAAGATCAATGCCTTAACATGCTATGAATGACTGGGAGAGAGCTGAACCAGTAGTCATCAGAGTATAATAATGCAGGGCAGCGATGAGACAGAACGTGGATCTGTGTGTTAATGACGTTGATCTTTTTTCACTGTTATCTGCGGCTCTGCTGTGCAGTCATTTTAATCAAAGATTAACTACAGAAATGATGCACTAAGAACCCCATAATGGAAATAATGTACATAATCTGTGCTCTGCTGTCCATGCAGCATGGATGTGAGAGGTCAGCCTTCACCTTGTGTTTGCAAACTATGTAATGATCATTTCATGTTTTTTAAAGTCTACTGAAAGTAAACAGGGAAAGTAAACACAGGGGGATGCATGTAAATAAAATCCTATATAGAGTGTTAATTGAAGACCCGTGGTTGATGCGGTGGCCATGTGGTGAAGATGGCCACCTGAGGTATGACTGAGATATAAAATACGGGTTAATTGGAACAGTCTACGTAACAGTAACATGTTTAGCAAACATTTAGGAGACACCAAACTACTGCACAGAGGACTGCAAACAAAAGTTAATCTCACAAAGCACCATATAAAAAATGTGCCCTTGCATCCTGCCTTTTAGCTCCTCTCTGCTTTGGCACCCAGCTGTGTCTATGGGCTGGCTTATTAAATCCAAGTGTGAAAACCCTTCAGAGCTGTGAGGTGTTGATTATCTTATCGTTATGGCATGTAACTATGCAGTTGAATGAGTACTATGACCTCTCCAGGCCTGATGGGGCTTAAATCATAATTAAATTATACTTGTGCTTTAGCGAAAGTGTGCAGACTTCACCTCTTCATTCTTAAAACTTATACTTGGGAATAAAGAAACAGTTCCTCACCCATCCCTTTCAGCTTCTTTCTTCTCAAGGTCTTGAATTACATCCAGTAGGACCTTGATGGTGTTCTGGCTGGTCTCCAGGACCCCCTCGAGGCTGTGAAGCTGGTTCTGCAGGCTACGAATGTCATGTAGGGGTCCATTGGGGCTCAGGAGCTTTTCTGTCACCCTGGCTGGGTCAAGTTTACACCTGGCCCCAGCCACCAAACCTCCCAGAATTTCCTGGACCTGTCTTAGTGTGTCAGCCTGGGTGGCAGTCAGGGGCCCAGCAGTAGGCCGCTCCCCAGAAGCAGAGCAGCGTCTTGCTCCAGAGCAACCCTGCTGGTTTGGAGGGAGAGGGTGTTGGCTGTTGGGGGTGGTGGGTCGGGCATTGGCTCCTGAGCAGAGCATTTTGTGTAGTGCCCCAAGCTGAGCCTGGGCTGAGCTGAGACAGCTGGGCTTAAAACAGGCCTTGGCAGGAGAGGAGGAGGAGGAGGACTGCTTCTCTCCCTTCATCACAGCAACTGGGGGAGTTTGAGCTCTGTGCTTCAAAGAGCTGGCTCTCTCACAGAGCTTGGGTGAGTCTGTACATTTTACATCTTCCTTTTTCTCCTTCTCCCTGTCTTTATCCTTCTTGCTGGCCTTACTGTCTGCCCTGAGCATGGGTGTTCGGATTGCAGGACCTGGTGTATCATTTCCCTTTTTGCGTGGTGTGTAAGGTGGAGGTGGTGGGGGAGGAGGTGGAAGTCGAATGCCCCTCTTATCCTGAGCATTGAGGGAGGCCTGCGAGGGGGGAGTGTATGGGGGTGCGGCACGAAATGTGGAAGAATACAGAGGAACAGCTTTAGTTGGTGTTGCACATTGTTGTGCAAGTGGAAGAGTGGACACATATGTTTTCACAAGTGGAGGCGGAGAAGTGCAAGATTTTAATTTAGGGACTGGGGAGGAGTAGGGGGTTATTCCTGTGTTGGCAGCAGAGGTATTTTGCAAAGCTTTACATGGTATATTGCAGTGAGATACAGTCTGTATTAGTGTGGCATATGTAGGTGCATTAGGATTTGGTTGTGGGGCGTTAGGACCAACTGGATGTGTAGTGGAGTAATATGATATGGAGGTGCAAGACATGGCAGTTTGAGTTACAAATGTGCAAGGTGTAGGGTTCATAGGAGGTGTGGCTTTTGGTGCATCAATTGGTAGTTGATGTGTCACAGTTGGGGCAGTTGTTTGATTACCGCTGGGCTCGATGGGGGTCACACTGGGGGTTATGGCTGAGGTTGGAGTGATTTGGGGAGGTAATGATTCTTTTGGAATCATAACCTCCATTTGGGATTGTGAAGGTGCGTTTGGAATTGGGGAGGTGCACTTTGGAGTGGCATGTGGTGTTGCAGATATGGAAGGGGTGGCGCAAACCACAGCTGTACTCGGGGTTGTCGGGGGTGACACAACAGTATAATAGGGAATGGGGTGTTGGATGGCTGTTGGTGCAGCAGTTGAGCAAGAAATGGGCAGTGCTACAGGTGGGGGAGGGGTGATGCAAGGTGGCTCAGTTGCAGAGGAGCAACTTGGCTTTGCGCAATGTTCAGGGCTCTTTGTGAGTGCATTTATTGGTGGAGGGGAGGTACAGTAAGGCACAGTAGTTGTTTGGGTGGTGGTAAGGTCTTGAGTTATAGTTGGGGGCTCAGGACTGTCAGATTGAACTTGCACTGAGCTGGGTGTTGCTGTCAGAGGTGGGGAAGCACATGGACTGCAAGTTTGTGTCTGGGTAGTGCAAGGTTGATGAACTGGGGAAAGGTGACGGGGTGACTCTGTTTGTATCTGGGTGGTGCACTGTTCAGCATTTGGAGGTAGGGCTGGGTGAGAGTTGGTGATTTGAATTGGAGTTGTGCATTGTTTGTCACTCGGGCCTAAAGACTGTTGTTTACTCTCAGTTTGACTTTGAGTCGTGCAATACTTTGAACCTTTAGGTGGTGGTGGGCTCTCTGTTTGAACTTGGGTGGTACAGAGTTTGGTGATTGAGGGTTTTGGGGATGGACTTTCAGTTTGAGTGATGGTAGTGCAGTAATGTACTTCCTTTCCAGGATCACTTGTCGTCCTGTTCAGCCGCTTTCTCCTCCTGATCGCTGAGGGAGTGCTGCTCCCCTGACGCTTCGGCCCTTCACGACAGGATACAGTAGAGCAGTGGCAGGGCTCAACATTGTGGGAAACTGAAGGTGGACAGCTGTGCCTTGAATTTTTTACCAAACTAACAGCTGATTTCATGTCTGTCCTGCAAGATCTGGACCTTCGTTCCACAACGGTTCCATCCCCTGGAACAGAAGGACCATTTAGATCCTTGGACCCAGGCAATGACACATGGTTGTGCATAAGGTATTCATCTTGAGAGTCATGTTCATCATCCCCATCTACGCCGACTGAGTCCCCAAGACTGTGGCTACGTCTGTGTGTGGAAGAGATGGACTGGGGTTTTTTCAGGCATGGGGAGGTCTGGATGGCTGTGCTGGTGCTCGTACTGGGCTTGCGTGTCATCGGCAATGTTAGGGAGTTACTCTGTGGCGGTGCCCAGCATCGGCGCGTAGGACCTGGTGTCAACGGATGAGGGGGGGCCCTGGCTAAGAAAGCTGCCACGACCTCTATAGTACTTGCCATGTCTCCACGCACAGCCCCCACCACAGAGGTTTGGCCAGGTAGGCTATCAGTCCTTGGGCCATCCCTGTCAGCCCATGGCGTGGGGGCCCTGCTGCTGTGTTTGCGAAGAGGATGTGGACTGTCACAATCCGTGGCAACCCTCTGATGGCTATTGTTTTCTCCTGTTCCACTGTTACCGCTGCTGCTGCTGCCATCCTCCAGGTCTTTAAAACGGACCTGGTGGGTGCGGTTGCGTCGCCGCTTCAGGCGGCTCTCAATATCAGGGGAGTCTCGATTGAGCAACACAGAGCGCACAGTCATTGTCCCGGGCAGCTTGTCCGCCAGAGTGCTCTTGCCGTTGGTTTGGCCTGTGAGCACTTGGTTTGGCTCTTTGCTCACCATTTCTCTTGTTGCTCTTGCTCCCCCAACATCCACAGGCTTTGCAGGCAGTTTGATGTTGTGAAGGCTTGGCTGTGTCAGTGCGTCAACAAAGAAATCAATATCCCCTCACTATGGATTCATTGTACCTCTGAGTGATCTGTACAATTGATTGAATGAGATCCAGTTTCATTACACAACATTTAAAGCTGTTTCTTGTGCGCAGCTCAAGCTCAAGTTATTTCAAATGTTGAGACCACAGACTTCCTTTGAAACAAAGATTGTTCTCAAGAAGGGTTGAGAATCACAGTTCAAGGTTTACTAGTATTAAGCACAGCAAGAAAAAATTAAAAACAGATCAATGTGATAAATGCTTACCCCGATACCCTTATAGGTCTTTCTCTACTCATAATTTTTGTACAAAAATAAATATGTGCAGCATCAAATATTCTTTAAAATGAGCATGTGAGGAATGTCCATAGTGTCCAAGTCTTTTACTTCTTATTCCATTTTCTCTTTGAATTTCCATGAAGGGGAACTCTTGCTTAGGCTGGAGAGGTTTCCAACAGACAAACAGGTAGGAAGGACATACAACCTGTCCATCCTTTCTGCATCCATCACATGGCCTTGTCTACTTGGCTGCTCTTCCGTCTACGCTTGCATTGTCTCCTGGGCCGTCAGTAGATTTGATGGCCGAAGTATGGGATGGTGTCGTACTTTTACACATAATGGCCTCTCTGATTCAGTGTTTTTTGTTCCCCTTTCCTTCCTGTTGATTTTATCGCTTTCTCTTGGTTTCTTTTACTTCTCAATGAATCATTCACTCACGTTTCAAGACAGCTTGAGTTCCTAAAGAGAGTGGGAAAACAAAGAGAGAAAAAGAGGAATAAGAGACTGTAATTGTTTTCATATTATTGCATTTCGATTGAAACACAATGAGCTTGTTCTTGGGGATAATGAAGTAGATGTAAGATATGCAGCTACTTTAAAAATGCATGAGAGGGAGGTCAACAAAGAACGGGAAGAAGAAGACATCAATTTCAAAACAGTGATGAAAGGATGAAGTTGGCAGGAAAACCACTTGATACATCATCAACAATAGACAGATATCCACACATAACAAGTGAAAGAGATTGTAATTATGGCCCTATTCACATTGGCTGAGGGGGATTCACATTTTTATTATTTGATATTCTTTTCTCGGTTCCCTTTTTTCAAATTTCATCTCTTTTGTATGTATGCTCATAGGTATTACTTACATTGTTAGAAGTAGCTTGTTTTGTGGCGGCAGCAGAGAAATGAATGCTATTTAGTATTCTTTCCTCCTCATGGGAACAGAGTATGACTGTTGTGCTTTTCCTCATACCCGTGTGTCTTACAGATTTTTCTTTTTCTCCATGTTTAACAGTCTGTGGCCCTGTTATCAGTCCTTGATGATATGCCATGGTGACATCCTTTCTGATTCATCTGGTCACTGTGTGACAGTCTGTCTGCCTCGCTGTATTTAGTAGTATGTTCTCGTCAGTCTGATTCTGCAGCCTGTTTCTGACGATCTATGGCCTTGATACGTATATATATCACTTCCATTTCCTGTCCGGGCCACTGGCAGTCAAGCGTGGTGCTGTCGTTTGCCGTACACAATCTATGAATCTGCGCCTTGTTATCTCCTTGTGATTGCCTCTGACACTGACAGGCTCTTGCTAATTTTGTGCGGGAGTGTGACTGGCCGTTACTCTGTTCCCCTCTCTGTTGTGGGAGGGGTAATTAGTGACTCCTTCACAGCTCCCAGGTTATTTAGGGAGAGAGATACCCGAGGGGCTGCCACTTTTATTTACATCCTCTGTTTCCCTCTTTTTCTTTCTCCGCTGCTGAAGAGGAGGATCTTTGTCACAACCACACCCCCGCTGTCAAGACCCTTTAAAAACATGGTTATTAGCTTAAATTATGATAAAAGTTACAGAAGACATGAGCCTCAAGGGGAAATATCAAGCGTGCACGCTTGGATATATTAATGGATTTGGAGACAAACCACAGGATTCCTTTTCATGTGACTTTCTCCTCACTGCCGTGTGTACAGATGAGCTGCTTATTCAACAAAGAAGACACAGGTTCTTCGAGTAACAATACACTGAGGACTGAATCCTGTGCTGCAGGGGATTGAATAAAAAACACTCACATCTGATTACGGAATATTAAAAGCCTGGCGACACTTGTAGAGATGTTTTCTGATACCATCTTTTTCCTTTTCCAATTCAATACCTTAAATCTCCTGTGAGAGACTTTTGGTTCGAGCCAATTTCGGCACCCTCCGTGGAGAAAGCACCATGAATTTTGTCCTGTACATGTGGAAGACTCCTTTAGGGCTGAAACGATTCCTCGAATACCTCGAGTACCTCGATTACAAATAATGATCGAGGAATTTTCCCTGCCTTCATTACTCATTTGTAAGCTCAAATTGGCACTGTTTCACATGGATTCTTTTGAAGGTGACACAATGTTTTTAGGTGCATGATTAAAGTTAATATCATAATTAGCTTTCTTGCAAGCATTGCAATCCGCTAATGCACATGCTTGTTTAGCGATTGTCCTCTATTTCTCCTAGTCTCGCCTTCATTGTGGGGCAATAGGAAATCTAACTTTATGTGAGTCTGCTGTTTGGGTCCAATTACTCGAGTAATCGGTAGAATATTTGGTAGAATCCTCGATTACCAAAATATTCGATAGCTGCAGCTCTAGACTTCTTTTTTAAATAAATCAATCTTATCCAGACTTTCTTTCAATAGTTTAATGTGCTATCAAGAGTATTTACTTTGGGAAATGATTAAGAAGAGATGTTTCATCACCCCTTTTGGCAACTTTGAGACGAAAACCTGAACAGGAATAGTTTTTTCTCCAATATCCAGATGCAACCTAACACAGATGATAGGGGGCATCTCGTAATTTGGCACCACTGTCAATATTTTGATTTAGAGATTTAGTGCATGTAGGCCCTGTCAGCAAAGTGACATGTAACCACCACTCCAAGGCGGTTTGTAACCAGAACAAGTATGTGGATGTTAAGGAGGTGCTAGCTTTGCTACTGGTAACCATATTTAGGAACTCAGCTTGACACGTTAACCTGCAGACACTTTATAATCCAGTGTTTCTCTGGGTTTGATAACTTTTTCTCAATTTTGCCTGTTTGAGTGTTTTCTCACCACAAGACTAGTCAGTGAGTTGCAATCGGAATTTCAATCTAAACAACGAGGACATTATTTGCTTCAGAACATCTCCGGCCCGTATCTTCTCAGAATAGCTTTACTTTCTTTCTTAATTCACCCAGAGGTAAATCCTTTAAAAATACATACTTTTGTCTTTTTACAAATCTTTCGTAAAAAGCACTTTAAATTCAGCATTCACCCTGACAGATCTTCCTCAGTTTCCCTGTCACAGAACCATTACCCTTTCTCCTCCTCATCCTTCCGTCTCTCCACCTTCTCCGTTTTTCTTTTCGCTCGCTGTCACTCGTATCTTTCTCACTCGTTCCACCATCACAATCTCTCTCTCGGCTGCTGCTACCGGTCCCACATCACCCCAGTTCCTCCCTCACTCGATCTGCAAACTATCCTGGGATCAAAATTTACGCTGACACTTTAATGAATCCAGACCCTCTTAATGCTGCATGGGCTCACTCCTGTGGCTGAGGCTAGCTCTTTCCCACATGTGACATTTTCATGTTGAGCTTTATTGGCAGACAAGAGATAAATCACCGGGCAGGAGGAGGAAGGTGTGCGACGGCATAATGCCAGCAAGGGTCATAACTCTTTGCCGTTATTATTTAAGATTTACTACAGCCCTCTCCCTCGCTGCCTACCTCACAGAGGAGGTTTTGTGGCGAATACAGGTTTCTATCCTGGTTCCTGTGCGAGTGTTTTATGCTTGTGCATCTGTGTGCGCATGATAATAACACTAAGGTCACATCTGATCCCTGTGTGCTAAGCTGTGCTGACTAGGAGAAACATATCTGATGCAAATTTCAAAACAAAACAGGCCTAGACTCTGTTTGCACAGATCTAATAATATACCGAGTCTTTCAGGGATGCTGAGAATTGCATCCATGCCAATAACACACCTTGGGGTCTCACAGTGCTGAGGAGGTGGAAGGTGCTGTGGATTGAATTGTTATGTAAAGGCATGTCAGATTGGATTGTCTCGGCACGCTTGAATTTGTCAGACAGGACTGAGATGAAGAGGAGGCAGAGAAAGAGAGAGAGAGAAAGAGGGAGGGAGGAGGAGAGAGAGGAAGAGGAAGGAGAGGAGGTAGACATGCACGGTTATATTTAGAGATGCTATGAGACACATAACAAACCGAGAGGAGTACGAATGTGAATAAGTAGAAGGGAGGGGAGGCGAAGGGGGAGACAGGCAGGAGGGGGTGGGTGGGGTGGGTTTGGGGGGCAGGGAGCAAAAAGCAAGAGGGAACAACCCCTGGCAGCAGAGGAAATGTCATGGTTAGGGTTCAGTGAAGTGGTAAATCAGGAGCATCAGCGTGTCAGGGCATTTAAGGAGGAACTGGAGAGGAACTAAGAAAAGATATATGATCAGTTATTGGCCCTGTGAGCAAAAAAATGAGAGGTAGGGTCAGAGCTATACCTGCGCTGCGTCTGAGGAATCAACAACACGGTCAGCTCACAGAGTTAACGCAAAGTGCAGAAGAATATTTTGTATTTGCATAAAGAAATCTCAATATTAGGAGCAACTCCTTTAAAGATGCCTGTAGAGGAATATTTTGTTAGGTAAGCATTGCGTGCAGCCAAGCATGCCTCAAACACGGGGGGATGTTTGGTTTTATTTAATGCAATAAAACTGGCAGGCATGTTGCAAAAAAACAGATGTACACCCATAAAGAGCCTTGTGGGCTTTAAGGCTTGTATGTCAACAAAACAACATGCATAAATAAATAATGACACAACCTAGCTTTGGCAAATGATTTGAATTTAGTCAAGGTATGAGCAAAGTAAAACAAGAATTGTTGATATCCTCTTCACTGCTCTGGGATCTGCTGTTGAGAAGTTAGAAAAAGCCTTCAGTGCTTCCATGAGCAAAAAAAAAAGAAAGTAACTGTCTGATGAAATCTTGAACCTGATCATGCTTAACAGCAAATTAAATTACACAAACAAACACAAATTAAATCACGATCCTCAATTCATTATACATCCGTGGCTACACAGTGAAACCAAGCATTGTTATTCCTGTCAGACTCTTGTGTAATAGCAGCAGGATGTTAACGCTGGTTTGTTTGTTTATTACTGTGTACCGGCATCCAATTTGGCCAGTTACAGTCAGCTGTCATAGCGAGCCATATTTCACCCGGCACTATAGCTGCAGTACAAGAACTGAATAATCAACATCTACATCTGAGCGCACCGAGGCTCATTTCTCTATCAGATTTAAGTTACAGTCCACATGGGGTGTAACCACGATGGATGAGTGGTAGTAGCAGTGCTACAAGATTGACAATATAGAAATATAATCATGTCTCTTTACTTTGAGGTGGTAAGTTGTCAGGTGAGGCTTTAAGCAAAAACAGTCATCAGCTTCTTCACTGAGCATGTGCTGTTATTTAAAGCTCCTGTGAGGAATTTTTTGTTTATGTCAATTTTGGCGCCCCCTGTGGCCAAAGCAGTCTTCTCTATCTTGTATGCACTGTCCTTTGACAAAAAAATATCCTCATCCTGCCGACTTTTTTTTATCATCTATTGTGAACATTTCAGTATTTCCCCTAGAATTTTTTTTAGCTGCCATGGTGTGTGTGTGTGTGTGTGTGTGTGTGTGTGTGTGTGTGTGTGTGTGTGTGTGTGTGTGTGTGTGTGTTGGGGGGGGTGTCGTTGTCACCCCCGCCACTCCAGGAGCTACACTGTTGCATTCACGTTACGTTACCCGCACTACTCGCTGCACAGACCGTGTATAAGCTTAAACGTCACCCTTCACATTAGTGGAACAGAGTCCGACAGGATTTGATGCGCTCCGTGATGACTCAAAACAAATCGAAAATAACGTTGTGTGTTGTGCTCACACAGTGCGAGTAGAATCATTAGTGGCGCATTGATATTACTGATCATGTGAAATTTCAGTAGCGGCGCACATAATTTAGCAGCGACGGTGCTGAATAAATGTAGGGGAAACACTGCTGATGCATATGAGTCTGAGGGAGAACTATGTAAAATAAAAATTACATTTTTTTTTAGGTGCGGCGGATTTTAATTAGCCGTGGCGTTGCGCCACAATCAATTTGTCAGTGTTGTCAGTGATGGTCTTAACTTCTGTTTATCAAAAAAATGCAACAATATCAATTTCAGTCTAATTAGTTACCATGAACAAACTTCTCATAGGTGCTTTAAGGTGTCGTTATCAGTCATTTTCTAGTGGTTAAAAAAAAAAAAAAAAACTAAAATTTTTCACCATAAAACGAGTGAAGAAACAGTTATGTCTTGGATATTTCCTTTAGGAGTGGTAAGAAACCAAATAATAGCTAAAAGAAGCTAAAACTTCGCCAAATTGCAGGAAACTCAGTGTCGAGCAAATTAAAACTGTAACTTGATGTCTATAAGGGACACTATTTTCTGGAGTTCAAACACTTTAATATGAAATCAAAGTGCTGTGAAAGTCTAGTGTCGGCCGTCATTCAGTGGTCAAAAAAAATATTCCAGGTTGAGATTAATTTTGCATCAATTTTTGAGGATATATATTTTAGCTTAATTTAAACCCAAACACAACATTTTTTCAGATCTACTAATGAGATGTAGATAAAAAGATGTTTGAAACCAACTCTGCCTACCACTAAAATGATATCAACTGGTTCAGAAGAGACGGTTTATTTATTTATTTTAAAATTATGGATCTCAATTGAATGTCTGTTCAGGACAGATTTCACAGGAAAATCAATTATCACTTGAGTCAACATAAATTCATACACAACAGTGACATATTATCACAGTGGATCACAGTTGAACTGCTACATAGAGCTTCAATCTCACTACATTCAGCAAACAGTTCCACTGCTTTTCACCACTGGCTGTTGATTTCTATTCAGACAGACTGTCGCCAGCTTTTAATAGACTCTGTCATCAGTCAAGAGTCTTTTGACTTTTGTGGTTTGAGCAGTTGAGCTAAAGTATCAGTGAGAATCTACCGCTGAAAACGGCTCCCTTTACGATGCCTCCGAACCTTCTTGTTAAAATCACACAGCCCATCATGTGCCACGGTTACATGTTTCTATTAGAAATACATCAATGAATAAATGTGTCGCGCAGGATCTGAACTACAGCTGGAAGGTTACTGCAGAGAAATGCCTTTACAATGTTTATTCATTAAAAATGAAAAAAAAGAAAGAAAGAAAAAAGTTTCCTTATATGCTGGTTTTGCGACCATATTTTAGCCAGTTGAAAAGTGGTTTTAAGTAAGTCATGGATGCCCAGACCTGACTTCAATCAAATTTCAACGCTGAGATCCCAGTTACAGCTAACTGAGTTATTTTTAGCATCTTTATAACCAACACAATTATCATAATTGTCCTGCATAATGTTGGTGGTTGGGATATGAATACTTGGATGCTCAGAACCTCGGGACTAATCTCAAACTGCAGATATTCATAATCTCAGGCTTGTTATTATTCCTGTAACAGGACATCATGCAAATACTTCAGGTTTGAGCATCCCTTGCACTGTCGTCCAAACATGCACAAATGTTTGCTCGCAGTATCACTGGGCAGCTCATTCCTAAAGAGGACAGAGCAGCCATCCCGCTTGTGCCAGTTTCCTTGAAGCATGGCCGGATTATTTCTAACTTTCAGAGTGTGAGTGCCAGAAATGATTTGTTCCATCTGTCCTCTTTTGACCAAAATCCTCTGCCTAATATGAAATCCCTATATTTAGGCCAATGGATTGTGATAAGCATACTCTGCCAACTGTGAGCAAATTTGAGGATGTTTGAAAGAGAGCCAGAGTAAACATTGCTTTTCTTTCTTGCACGCCTTCTGCAGCCTAATTGTCTTGTTTCTCTGGCTGGTTGGTTCTTTTATGCTCCATCTTTTGTGTTTTTTCTCCCCACTCTGCCACGGGATTCAGAGAGCTTAAACTTGAAAAGGTTCCTCGGTGCAATATAAGCAGCAAAATAAAACAGGTGGCTCCACTGGCATGTTCAAAGTACATTTGAACGCTACCTGTGGGTGCATATAGAGCAGTCAGCTCCCTGGGGGTTACTCTCTGCTGGGCGGGCATGCTGCAATGCCCCTGTCCAAACTGATGTTCAAAGAGTACATCATAGTGTGCTACCTATAAAACCAGGCCACTGTCAGTCCAAGGAAAACACACAGCCAGCAGATACAGAGATTTAAAGAGCGAGCGGAAAGTGAAAGACTGCAGAAGTTTGACTTTAAGAGTACATTAACTTCTGTTGGGTGAAATTAAATGGAGGAGACAGAGGAAGAAGATTTATAAGCGGCGAGAGAAAAAGGGATTAAATGGTAGGTAGGAGAGGAAGCAGGGAGGTGGAGATAGCTGACCTCTTAAAAGACACGTTGATGAGATAAGATAAAAGGGAAATATACTGTAGCGAGGAGCAGAGGGAGTGAGAGAACGAGGGAAAAAGAGTCAAGCAACGACGGGCGGGATTAACAGCGCAGCAGTTCTTCACACAGCAAAAATGTGTTTGCGCAAATGTGCACCTGTGCCTGTGTGCGTGCATGTGTGTTTGATAGTGTGCACGCATGCATGAGAGTGCATGTGCAATTAGATTTTCATCACATGTAATGACACCATTGGTGTAAGATTAGTTAAAAGAGAAGAATAAGGGAGGATTTTAATGGGCGGTTATTTTAAAGCATATTTGAGTTTGTAAAATTCACTAAAACTTCCTCACTATTCTCGAAAATTAAAACCGTCATGCAGCCAGAACAGCATGCACTGGATCTTGCTGAGATACGGATCCATACAAATGGAATTCCCTCACTCAGTGCCTCCTCCTCCTCCTCCTCCTCCTTCTCAAACTTTCTGCGTTATGCCCCCCCCCATCACACACACACAAACACACACTCATATACACACACATAGACACAGTCTTGCTCATGACAAATATGCAATGAAAGCACGCTGCTGGAATCTGCAAAGCTACATCACAGACACACCAATCTAAGCTCCTCACTCTTTAAAGCTCCTCATAAAGCTGCACAATCTCGGAAAATAACTCCCACACCTGCGGTAAAGCAAATCCCAGCATCCAAACACACACACATACACACACACACGACCCCATTTCGGAAGATTTCACACGCACACACAAGCACGGGCACACTTTGAGCACACAAACACACCCCCATTGTAAGAATAAATAGTGCACACACGCACACACAAACATCTGCCAAGCACATAAACAAAATGCATGCACGTGTGCGCACGCATGCAAGGACACACACTCTCTCTTTCTGTCTGTTCGTTTCACATTTGAGAAGACGTAACAGGGCAGTAAGTGAAGAAATAAACACAGACACTTCACTGATGCTTTGAAATCTGTCCTCAGCTTGGCTCTTTCTCACTGTGGTGATGCTGAGAGAAGCCTGATGGGGAGATTGCTGTGTATCTTCCATCAGGACACAGAACTGAGTCACACGTACCATATCTCCCTCTTCCTGCTTCCCCCTCCGTGTTGTCTCTTCCTCCCACAAACGCTCGCTTCTCTTCTCCCCTATTCCTTCATGTCTCTTCAGCCCATTCTTCCATCCCTCTGGCGTTCATGTTTGCTTTTTTATTTTCCACCTCTCTTGTCACGGCTGCTCGATACTGTTTCCTTTCCTCTTTTTAGAGTCCATCTGCTCCCCTCCTCTTTCTCCTTTTCCCTCCCTCTCTGGTTGAGTCTTCTTCTAGCTTGCCCTCCTCTTCTTCCGTGGATTCATGCCTTTCACGTGGGAACCTTTTTATCCATCCCTCAGCTGCTTGGAGCTCCGCTGTGCTGTGCTGTGTTTTGCTGTGCCTACCTAGCTGTCTAAGCGTTTGAGTGGAAGTGAACGGACAGGAGGGGGAGCAAGAAGACAAGAGTGAGCAAACAGGCAGTTATCCTCTCAGATGCTCCTCTCAGTTCTCCTCGTCCCATTCCTCTTCCCTCTCTCCCCGTTTCTCTCTGCGTCTCTCCATCATGACCCCCTCTCTGTGTCGCCATGCAAGCCCCCTGTATCCTTGTAAGCAAAGGGAGGGAGGGTTGGGGGAGAGTGGGATGGAGAGTAGGAGGCAGAGGGAGGAGGAGCTAGAGAGTCGGTCTAATTAAAAAGCAGAGTATGTACAGCTGCAGAGGGCAAAGAGGGAGACGAAGAGAGGAGGAGAGAAGAGGAGAGAGGGGAGCAAAGTGATCCAGGGGGCGGAACCAGGGGGAAGCAGTCAGTAGGGGGTGGAAATGAGGGGCATGAGGTGGGCTGTGGGGGGGTTTGGTAGTAGCGTGAGGTGGGGAAGAGAAGAGAAAGAGCTGACAGGACACCACGGTCAGCTGGAGAGGAATGCAGAAAGGTCATGCATACAGAGCGGGGGGGAGGGAGGAAGACGGAGGGAGAGAAAGAAGGGAGAAGGAGATAGGAACAGACAGGTAGAATTATTCTACAGATATCTCCCATATGAGCGGGGGCAGAGCTGGGCAACCGTGACCAGCAGGATAATAGAGACACATGGACAATGGGCCTCTGAAGCAGGAGGCAGATCCACAGTCAGAGAAGGTTAAACCACTTCAGTGTTGTCGGGCCTCTTTGAATGAACATGCGTAAGTGTTTGCTGTTGTGCATGCAAATTAAAGGGGACAACACCAATTTGGATTTGATTTATCACTTTTTCCCCCTCCGGTTCTCCTCTGTATGAATTTTCCAGCGTGGCGAATGTGTTAAATTTGTCCGAACCAGATGACTAGAGCAAATTGATTTTGTTTTGTTTCTGTTATTGTGAAACCCTGACCCCATCATTACTGCTCTGGATGTTGCCACCTGAGGCTGCTTAAGCCACTCAGTAAAGGGGAGATACAGAGATAAAGTCTACACCTAAATGCCTCGAGGGATGAGACTTCGCGTCTGATTTTATCAGCTCTGATCACTTATCTTGTCCCATCTCCACTCTCTCTATCAGGCTTACATTAACATCCCAGTGAATCCTATTTTTACATCTCTCAGATGTTCTGCTTTTACACTTTCAGAGCCCATTTCTGGGAATCCTTAGATGAATGCATTTCAAATACAATTTCATGGAAAGAGCACAATTACTTCAGCAGAATCGACAGTAATCGAAGATGAATAGACATGCCATCAGCTGCAATACCGAGGTGTAATAAGACATAATGAGATGTGCATATGAAATACATGGTCTGTTCATGTGAATAAAGACAGGCCTTTTGGATATCATAAGAATCTAGTACACTGAGAAATTAAATGAGATTAGACAGAACTTTACTGATCCTTTTGGGAAGGTTCAATAATGTTGATATACATTTCCCATGACTTTTTTTTCTATGCAAATGTGCAAAAAAAAAAGGTTAATATTGTTGTAATCCTGGGCCAGTGGTTAATGGTAATAATGTGGAAAAAAAGACAGCCCTGAAATAAGAAGTTCATGCTTTAACTTGGAAACACTACTTACAACAATATGCTCTCTAAAACATGCTGTATGTGTGACATTATGACATTCAAATGAACAATGTTAGCATTTTAATTTCCTGCTAGTACTAGTAGCGTGTGAGAGCAACAATATCGACATCATAAAGGGAAAAAAAATCGCAGGTAACTGTTGGATATATCCAAGCGCTAGCAGCTAACCTGCCAGGTTAGGGCTGGGCGATTATTTGATTGTGATTGATGATCGTGATAAATTTCAGTTCGATCACGGTGATCAGTCGTGAGCATATTTACTCGATCAAACATAGCGAAAAAGTGCGTCACAATAGCCAATCAGAGTCAAGCTTTTCCTGCTCACTTCTGTAAGTTACCAAGTAAATATGGGAAGTAAACACAATGACCAAACGTGGCGCTGAGGGCAGCAAAATAAATGTCAGCCGTGACTTTGAGTCATCCTCCGAAGATGTTATTGTTGAGAAGTTATTCAACGTCGGTTGTGTGGTGGTGGTTTGAGTATCACCAAAGTGACGTCGTGTAATTATGCCGATGTGTAAGGTATGTCGGCGGGTGGTGCCCTCAAAAACCAGCAACAAAACAGATCTGTGTAATCATTTGAAGAAGTACTTCCTGAGTGATTCTGCGGAAAGCATGAAAATGCTAGCGGAGTCTGCACAGCCTGCAACTGCTGATGGCGCGAGTAGCATTAGCAGTTTAGCCACAACTAGCGGTGCAGTCACCAGACCAAAGCAATCAATTGTATCATCTACGTTTACATCATCTAATGTTTACATTTTAAGGCATCTTCATTATCTCTGAGGTGAAAAATTGTTTATTTTGGGTCTTGCATACCTGCAAAAACACTCTGGACTATAAACTAATTTACTGTATTATTTAGTATTTATCTGCATTTGTTGTATTGTGGAGTTGAAATGTTTTTATATTTTTCTAAGTGTATCTTATTCTTTGCTATTTACTGTCAATGTTAATAAAATGTTGAACTAATCTCTAGTTTCTTTAGTTTTTAGGACAGATGCTTCAAGACTGGCAATTAAAAAAAAATTGTGATAATAATCGAGATCCGACGATACGAAAAAATATATCGTGATCATTTTTTTTTTGCCAAATCGCCCAGGCCTATGCCAGGTATTTGCCTAAAGAGTTAGGAAGGACAAAACAAAGCTTACTGAGCTTAAAAAGCAAACTAGCTAGGTGCCGAATCTAAGAATAAGTGGCTAAAGAGCAAGTCTTTGAAGCTAGTGGAGGCCATAGACAGGGCAAACATTTCTCATAGCTAAAGGGAGAGATATTCCTCCAAATTTGATAGCAAAAGATAACATTTTTACAGCTAGTACAGAGGAAACTAGTTAAAATGTGAGCCCTAGCATCCAAAAAGCTATTACTTATATATGAATGAGTCCAAAGACAGGGCTAAAATAGCTAAAATACTTGGTTGGCCACTTAATTTAACTGAGAATCAACAGCAAAAGAGCTTGCAATTTACTTCAAAGTTGACAAAGGCAGAAGACAAAGACAAAAAGACCCAAGCATTAGGGTCTCAGAGGGTACGATGGATACCAAAGGAAGAGGTGAGAAAGGGCCAAAAATACTGTATTAGCTGGTAAACATGAGTATCAGAGAGTTTGGTGTTTTCCTCGAGAGTTGGGGCCAGAAAAGCTCAAATGTGAAGTTACATTCCCCAGGTGGCCAGTAATATAATCTAAGATCAATAAAAATGTTCAATAAAAACTGCTGGATATATAAGCTTTCAGTATCAACTTGAAAGCTACAGATGTAACAGTGTTATGTTCAGAACTAAAGGCTAAAAAAAGGCCTACTGCAGCTTTAACTGAGAGTTATAACCTCGATATTGACATTTATCTTTAAAAAGCAGGACTGATTTTAAATACATAATACTGACAACTGAAACATTTGCCATTTAAATCTATCACATCTCTTGTGGAAACTGATCCACGTAACCAAAACAAAAAAGACCCCAATGATCTGCGTCTGCAGTGTTTACATAAGCTGGTGATTTGGTCATCATTATGGGCGCAGGGTTCTCCAACACTGAGAGCTTTGTTTGAAATGAAGGCAGCGACTCTGGCGTCTGTGAGAGCTGAAAGACGAGTGATGTTAGAATCAGAGCCTGTTAGTGGCTGCAGAAGACTGTCAGCATGGTGGAGCAGCAGATGGAGCAGCGGAGGATAATGAAAAGACCGAATGACTCTATGCCGCTTCCAAACAGACGGAGTTAGTCGGCTACAGAGAGGACCTTGAGTTTACCGACCACAAAGACTTTCCTGCTGGCACTGCTTATAGGTGGTGTTAAGTTTACTGTCCATTATTTCTGACGGCGTTTGAAGCTCTCCAGCTCCTCAGCTGTCTCGCTGGTGATTTAAGTCGAGTTGTTTGAGGGTCAGGACATCTTCGGGGAGCTAAAAAGTAGTCCTTTATAGTTTTGGAAATCTTCAGGCACAGATACAGAAGCTGCCTGCAAACTGCTTTAGAAGATGAAACAGAAATAAAGCTGTTAATAGGCCACATTAGGCTTATTCTGTTGCTGATACTGCATCTCCTAGAGAGACTAAAAATGATATACAGAGATGATACCCCACAGCACTTACATGTATTATTACAGGTTTTAGTGCTGGAATATGTATTTACTGATTTTGTGTATTGCATTTATGTATATCATTGCTGTGCAGGTAAAGAAAACCATGTATTCCCGGTTTATCTGAGCTACAAAAGCCCACACAGATCTGAAACCTGCAACTGTGCACAACTGAGATTAGGATTTATTTTAATGGCTATTACTTTACAGCATTCTTGACCCTCTGACTTTGTGTGCATTCAGATGCTGAAATTTTATAATTATAGTGTGACAAATTTGTATGCTGTTATCATGAAAAATATCTTGCACGACTGTGTTGGAATAATCAAAGCTCCTGTGAGAAACTTAGAGTTTGTGTCAGTTTTGGCGCCCCCTGTGGACACATCGCTCTTTTCTTATTTTGTCCTCTGTTTGCTTGAGAAGTTTCCTTAAAGAATCCTTCTGACTTTTGAGAGTTATGGTCCTTTCACACTGGGAGTGTTTTTCTCGTGCGATTATTTTGGACGTCAATATTTTTGGTGTGTAAGGACCTTTACATGTATCATTTTTGGGAATACTCAATGTTGGAAATGTAAAAACATGACATGTGTAAGGATATTTAAGATACTAAAGCAACTCAGTCCTAATGAAACAGATTTGTGTGGAGACAGAAATGGTAAATTTATCATTTTCAGAGCTATGAGTGTATATGCGCTTTGCTTGGTGTGTCTATGTGCTGGTGCACATCTCCATGTCGGCTCTGCTTAAGTCAGTGCCACACTATGCTTGCCCCATTAAAAAAGTCTAGACATGCCACTGGCGGTAAACTCTTGTTATCCTACAAATCAAAAGCATAATCATATCATTGCACAGTGTCCAACTGATGTTTTGAATATTTTTCCCCTCTGTATCTCTCCCTCACTTATTCTCTGGCTTTGTTTTGTTCACATAAATCAGTTATCCTCAGGGTAAGCCCGGGAATTGCAATTATTGTATATCAAAATCATCCAAATCCAGTGCACGTAGCCGATCTGATCCTATGCCCACAAAGCCACCAAAGAACACTGGTAGTTTCTACTGGCTCTGGCGCTCATTAATCAGCCACTGCATCTGTGCAGCTACAAAAAAAGTTGAATTTTAAACAGATCTTTAACGTACACTTAGATCAAGTCATCAATCACAGCCTCATACAGGGCTGCGGGATAGAGGACATGCCTAATGGTGATATCTTACTGTGGCCATTACCTGAAAAGGTTTTTATTATTTTACTGTAGGTTTTCAGCATGATGGATGGACAAGGTGTACAGTCATTTGCTGGATCTGACCTGAGTACAGCTGGCATCCTGGTCTTTGATCTGAAGCGGGCACAGGACATTGTCAAAGACTTAAAGTTGCTTTGATGGATGAGGGAACTTTTTCTGCTTTGTTTCCGGGCCCATTAATGGCTTTCTCCATCTGTCCTCCTGTCTTGAAACAAGGCTGGAGGTCAGAAGAGAAATGCTGCTTGGCAATGTAATAGATGGGTAAGACGACAGACTTTGAAAGTAGAGAGATTTTTAGCTGCAGCTATGCACCACTAACAATACGGTGCATTATTCTTCAGGCTTGTTATTCCTCCAAGACTTTGAAAGATATTCATAAGAAAAGTTTTGAAGGATTATGAGCATGGAGATACATATGAAAGAGTTTTAAATGTGATGTTTGGAGAAGAAGAAAAAAAAAAACAATGTTTTTGCACTCTCCACCAGGTGGCAGTGTTGCTTTTAATGTGTCAGCCAAAGAACTATGACAATAAACCTTCCAAATGATTCTCGCCCTATCTGTTATTTCCAAAAGTGACCTTTAGTGACCTTTATAAATTTGTATTCTTTGTAAGTTTGAGTGTAAAGGTGAAAACAGGCATGAGAGTATTGAGTGTGTGCATGTGTTTGTGTGTTTGTGTATGTATTTGTGTGCGTCCTGCTGTGTAACGTCTCTGCTCGCTCTTGGCAACATGAATGAAATCCAGCAGCGAGTCTGAGCTCTGCTGATGTCACTGCTGAGGATCTTAAAGGACTGTCACAGAAATAAGTGAATCATCAGCCACAGGGCTTACTGGATTCAGATGCAAAGAGAAGTATTTGAATCACATTTTTGATCTTATTCATTAAAAGAAAGAGTTTAAATATAGTGCCGAGTTCATGTTCTCAGGCCTGCTTATAGAAATACGTATGCAACGCTCATAAATTGATGATGCAGCAACCATGAACGTCCTGATCTGCTTTGAACTGCAAACATCAGAGGGAGTCTCCAGCCTATGAACTCTAGCGAAAAATATAGAAGAGGAGAATCTTGTTTATAGAATTTGTCTTAAAATCTCTGGGGTTTTGGAAAGAACCAAAAGCTTCTTGTACTGTTTCATGAGAAATGCAAGTCAAAACAAGAGATTCTCACCAAAAACTTAATTTGGAAACTCTACATGGACATCCTTGAACCAAAGAGGTTCGAATCTACTTTGTATCATAAATCAATATTTTATGTTTGAAAAATGTAATATTCATGATGTTGTATTTTAATGAGGGGAGATGTTTTATTTGGATGTAGAAACTTATATAAGAAAGACTCTACCAGAGAATAAAAGCCTGAAAAAGGCCTGTAATCAGCAAAGACAAAGACAGAATTCCCCAGCGGAAACATGCTTGTGTTTTAAGCTTTACAAAATAAAATATTTATCATTAAAATATTGCATTAACAGGTCATTTTTCCAAGGTTTAAACTATGACAAAGCAACACTTGAAAAGAAAAACAACAGAAACTGTTTGACAAACTGAAGAGTTTGGCGGGACACATTAATTAAATCCATTAATGATGGAAATAATAAATAAGTGCATCAGAATATGAAAAACACAAAGTCACAGCACTAATTAGAAGAGCATCTCCCAAATGAGCGCCCCATAAATCCACAAAGCCACAGTGCATGGGACAATGTGTATCCAACATTTCTCAAATGAACTGCACAAAGAAATACCGGAGCGGACATAAAGTTATGATAATAAATGTGCTGAAGCATCAACAGTAATCAAGTCGATGTTAGTGCAAGAGTCAATCATGCAATACTTCCAGTGACTGCATTAATAAATTATGGAAGAATCAATGTCTATGAAAGAAGTGCTTATTAGGGATGCACAAAACTGTCTGCAACTAATTTGCCTTAGCATATAAAAGCTTAAAAAGTAAACTTCAGGCCGATGTAAAAATGTTTTTTTTTTTTCAAACCTAATTAGGAAGGCACGATGAAAAACTTAAAGCTCCAATGAGGAGATTTTGTAGTCTGTGAAATAGACTGAAATTCGTGTTGATGCCTTTTAACAAAATCAAAAAGCAAACAAGACCATCAGCAACAAGACTGAAGATTTTGATACTCTTATTTTCATAATCTGAAACCGGTGTGAGGGGTAGTGTTGTGTCGTTCGTGAACGATTCGTTCTAAAGAACCAAATCTTTTAAGTGAACGTACTGAACCAAATCACTTCCTCAGTGATTAGTTTGTCTCTCACTTAAGTTGAGCTGTCAGAAGTGCAGCTGCTATAGAACGCAGCATTGCCAGACAAGCAGCCGGTGAACGAGGGACCGCATGCACCGACGCCTGAATCACTTGGTGAACGAATCACACATTGAACTGCGAGGGAATGGTGTACGTTCAGTTTGAGTTCTTCTAAACCTTCAGTGAACGAATCACTCACTGAGCCCAATTTACCGAGACCTGATAAATAGTATACCATAGGACAGTACACTTAAGATATCATGACTTATAAACAAGTTTATTTTTGCATACCTGTTTAAGCAACACAGCCAAACACTCTCGTTTTCCCGTCCCAGAAGTTATGATCTGAACTGAATCCTAAACTGTTCAGCCATGTATCAGTTCAGGAGGTTGGAGTCACAGGCTCCTCCCACCAAGTGCTGAATGATTCAGTGATTCGGTGAACGAATCTTTTGAACGAATCATTTGAGTGAACTGATCCTAGAGATTCAGTACATCTAAAAGAACTGCCGTGCCCATCACTAGTGAGGGACTAGATCCAAGCCTTTCGGCTAAAGAAACACCCTAATTTTACAATTTCTACTTACAATATTCAAAATAAATTACACATCTGACCGCCACAAGTCAGCTGGATGAGATTTGTTGTAATAAGTTACTACTCCAGCATGTAGAAGACAAAATTAGCAAAGACAGCTTTGTCCACAGGGGGCGCCAAAATTGACACAAACCAAAAGTTCTTCACAGGAACTTTAAAGAGAGATCACTTATACTTTTAATCAATAGCTACAAATATGATAAGAGTGATGAAAAGGTACATTTTAAAGTCTCATTATGGCATAACAAATGCATTTATGAAGCAACTGTTAAAGCCTTGACACAAATTCATATTATTAAACCTTAAAGGTGGGGTAGGCAGGATCTGAGTAAGTTCTAGTTTTTAGGAGAAATCTTGAATGTAAACTCTACTCCTCCCAACCAGTTTTTCCCTCAGCTCCTCCTCTCCCCTCCCTCTCTGCTCCAGCTAGCCCCGCCCTAAAACAGACGCTTCTGCTTGCTTGTATCGTTCCAATTAAATTCAGATATAATAAAGATAAATACTTTAGATAATTACAAATGGGGAAAGTAAACAGCATTGGTGCTACTGTAGATGCCAACAGACAACCAGCAAACACAATGTTTGCAGGACTTCTACAACTAGGATAAAGTGACATAGTCCAGGACCCGAGGTAAACAGTTTAGTGGCGCTACAACACGCAGCAGGTCTCGTTTGACAAGAAACACTTCTCTTACAGACACTTGGCTTACTTTGTTAAAGCGGTTAACCTGTCCAGCAGAAAGGTTACAGGGTCTGCAGGATCCTGAAGCATTTACTGATGTTGACCCGGCTTTTTAGCTCTTGTCTGGTCTACCTCTGTTTTAAGCGCCCGTTATTCCGCCAGAGTCTCCGGTTTTTACTTCGTTTTCTTGCTTGTGATGGCAATCATAGCCAAAGGAGGATTCAGACAATTTTCCGTACTTTCTAGTTAGTTTCTACAGTCTGATATTGTAGCACGCTAACTTTGTTTGGGCTCGTGAACATTATTCAAGGATGCGGAGCGTGCCTCACAACATGAGGGAGCAGCGTCCGCCTCACAACCAATCAGGGGAGGCGGAGAATGGCTTTTTTACATTAAGAAAGAGCGGGCTGCTTAAAAATGTTAAAATGTTGACTACACAGACATAACAGAACAAAGGGATATCGTGATATTCCCAAATGTCATTAATAAATAATAGCTATTGACTGATATTAAAAGCTTTTTTGTATATACACCACAAAAAAACTGCTTTTAACGGTATCCTACGACGGAGTATTGGGGCCAAATTAAGAAGAAAAAAAATTAAGACTTCGGGATTAAAGCCATTAACTTACGAGAATAAAGTTGTTATAAATTCATTAGTTACAATAATCATGTCATAATAAAATAATCAGTTATAAGAATAAAGTCATACCCCCTCCCCTCCTCTCTTCTCTATCCCCTAGCCCCATCTCCTTTTGTAAAGCGACTTTGGGTTACTTGAAAGGAGCTATATAAAACTAAGTTATTATTATTATTATTATTATTATTATTATTAATAAAATCATCAATTACAAGAAAGAAGTCATGACAAAATCATTACTTACGAGAATAAAGTTGTGATAAAATCATCAGTTACAAGAATGTAGTCGTAATAAAACCATTGCTTAGGATAATAAAGTCGTTTTAAAATAATTATGTATGAGAATAAAGTCGTAAAGTAATCACTTAAGAGTGTAAAGTCAGAATAAAGTCCTTATAACTTAACCTGTTTTTTAAGATGACAGTTGTTGAAATGAGAACCATGGAGCATTTCGTGAAAATATACCTTGATAGGGGTTTCCCAAACAAGCAGATACTGAATCTTTTGCCACATCAGCACCACATTATCATAAGTATCACAATGATTTTATTAAAACTTTATTCTCGTAAGTAATGATTTTACAACGACTTTACTCTTGTAAGTTATTACTTTATTACTACTTTATTCTCGTAAGTTCTTTCTTTATTTCGACTTTATTCTTATAAGAAATGATGGTATTACGACTCCCATCCTCATTAGTAATGACTGTATTCTCCAAAGTGAATGACTTAAATCTAAAAGTCTTAAATTTCTTTTTTTCTTAATGTGGCCCTAATACTCCGTCGTAGTATCCTGCCTACCCCACCTTTAAGAAGTCATATAACCACTTGTTTCTGTATTAACTAACACCTGCCATAACAGTCTTACATAAGCATGTAATGAAAGCAAACAAAAATAGAAGATATTCATACATTTCTTTAGGGCCTTATACCAGTAGTGTTTGGAGAGCAGTTTGAAGCGTTTCCATTTTTTGCCACCTTGTTATCACTGACTTTTTTTTCACCTCTTTTAGCTCTCGCCTCGTTTTGTTTACCTCTTGGCTCCTAACACGTGGGAAAGGGCGGGGGAGGGGGGACCGAAAGAGGAGAGGAGAGGAGAAGAAAGGAGGGGGAGGGAGAGAGGGAAGTCGGATTAGCGCAGCGTCGGTGCCCGGTGTCCTTTTTAAACCACAACAAACATCAGAGTGATTGAGAGAGGCACAGAGTGAAGAAAACCCATTTGAACCTGCTTGTCCTCCGCAGCCAGTGTCAGCATCTCTCTCTCTCGCTCTACCTCCATCAAGCATCCGGCGTTCAGGCATGTCTCTGTCCGGCTCACAGACACCAGAGGACGGACTCTACGGTGAGTGACGGGATGGTGGGGCTGGGACCAGGCCGTTGTTTAGCTGTAACCTCCTGATGTGTTTTTGCATTTGCCTCTGCAGCTATGACGTAGTATTAGACATCTAGCAGGTAATTGTAGTCATTTAAGCAGCTGGTATGTGTGCACAGGTGGGTCTGACCTCATTATGCAACTGTAAACAAAGTAGGTAAACAATATAATCAGTGACCCCATAATCAGCTAACTTTCCCCCCAACACAGGTATGATATGCTGAGGCTATCCAACAGTGTAGACATAATGCCAACAGCATGCCTGATTGCGAGCAGGTGTATGAGGAAGAAGCCACACAGGGAGTGAAGAAGAAGGCACTGACGGTTTTTAGAGCTGGCATTGTTGTTGCCACTGACACTGTCATTGTGTAAACGGATTCCCTGACTCACCTGTTTGTATCTCTGTAAGCCAATTAAGCTGCAGAGATTTTCTGACGCTTATAGCTCCACTGTGCTGTGTGAACATTGTTTGGCACGTAGGATGCTGGGTAAGAACATGTGGAGCATATTATGGCAGGACAGGAAGGGACTGTACGAAAATATAGGGGGCTAGGCTTATGATAAACAGGGATTACAGACAAATTGATTGCAGGGTTTTGGCCAGAGTTAATTCCTTTCTTATCAAGTCAAAAAGTTTATTTTTTTTTTTTACTTTAAAATATCTGGACTAGTTTAATGTTTTTTGACACAGATCTCATGGATTAGTTTTTTTTTTTGGAGCCACAGTCCCATAATTACCTCTAAACTCAGTTGTTTTTAACTTCTAACCTGGCAACACTGAAGCAATATACAATTACTTGCCAACAAAATTAACTAATTTCGTTGATCTCTCTGCACTGATGGCGATCAATGACTGGTTTTACACCCTCTTTTATTTTGCTTTCCAAACTGACTATTCAGATCAGATTTTAAGCTCAGGTTGTGAACAGTGCAGTCTTTTCAACCAGTCTCAAAACATCAGAAATGCATGTAGTGTTTTCTAGGAACTCAGCTGGTTTCTATTCTGGGTAGTCTACTTTTAAGGTTACCAATTAATCAGTTACCTCCACTGGTTGTTGTCCAAAGCAGTGTGAAATTTAATACAAATTTACACACAATAAAAATGAGAAAAAACGTATAATTTATCTGAGTGTCCGTGAGCTAAAGTTCACAGCATGCATTAGGGTGAAACAGTTGGTGGCGCTGACTTTTCTGCAGGGTAACATTAAATCATTAAAAAGAAGGCGATACAATGAGATTATGTGATTAAAAGAGCACAGGGCAAACTATAGACGATGGAAAACGTGATGGAAATGTGGCTCTTTTAACTTTGTTTTTGGTGTTTTTAAAATTACAGTGTCCTGATATCTGCTAGGTTTTAGTCTTAATAACTAATATAGAAAACTACATTGAAATTTTAGCCTGTTTCCACTATATTTTGGTGGCACAAGTTAACTAGTTCTGGGAAGTTTCCTGCTTTTACTCAAAAATTTGGTCGGAAAGATGAAGTTGACTCAAAAGTAAAATGTCGTCATCTTCATTTGTGCAACAAAAATGATAACGATGTTGAAAGGAGTTCACAAAATGCCTCTTTTTTATAGTATTGTAAGTTTACTGGGAAAACGCTTGCCTTTAAATCTTGCACGAAAAATGAACATTCAATTTATGGCAAAAAAAATAAAATAACATACCCAGCCTGCCTTTCTAAAACAATCTGCCTTCAACAGAAAGAACAAAGACACATCCATCCCTCTACATTTCCTTTACAGAGACAGACACTAATAGGAAATCAAAAGTGATGCTGTTACGCTGCAGTTCATTGAGTCTTTTTAGCATCCAGCTCTTGTCCACATTACATAAAGCAGATTTGGCAGTGGCACAGATGAATGTGTACAGGATTGCACCATAGACACTGATTTAGTGCTGCAGAATGGCGACAGATAGATAAATCAGGCAGCAAGGCAGTTGTTATGTCATAACTCCCCTCTAAAGAAACATAACTAGGGCAATGGCACAGTTTCCCCGCTCTGCTCTCCCTCCCTCCCCCTCTCCCCCCTCCAGCTCTATGCCCACTCATGTCTCCTCTTTTTGCCGCTGCTGCTTGTGTGATTATAGTGTCATAAAGTGAAGATTAAAGCGATCACATCATACATTGGTAGGCAGATGAGGTGTTGATATTTTGTAGAACGCTGCGTGTGTCAGTGAGGAGTAAAGACATGTTGACAAGAGAGAAACAAGAGGAAGAGGAGAGGGAGGAGGGTGAATGGCTAATCTCTAACAGAAATAAGACCTTACGTAAGCAAGCATGCTGTCAGGCCCAGTTATCCCTGCCCTACTGTTTGGCTCGGACTGTGTGCACGCTATACACACCAGAGTACGTGCGTGTGTAAATCTCTTCCTGATCATGTACTCAGTGAACCTACATGTCCATTCATTCATGTACCGTGTGTGTTTTTAACCCACTGGTTTAGACTCATTCATTGCCAGAGTGTGTTCGTGTGAGTGCGTGTGTTTGTGTGTTTTAAAGCATGCATTCAGAGTCGTGTCCGGCAGGATGTCCATTCAGCATTTATCGCCTCTCAGAATGTCAAATGTCACGTCAGGACATCTGTGACATCACGATGAGTCAACAAAACAGGCCTGTCCGCTCACACTTTACAGCACAACAAAGCTGTAACATTTATGATAGTGTCAGAGGAGTGTGGTGGTGTTAGTAATTTCTGATATTAGTGAAATTACTCCTTTACCTGCATTATTCAGAACAACAGAAGAGGACTGAAGCTACTATTGAAGATCAGTTTCAACACTTTAGCAGGCTGATATGACTGTCAAAAGTACCAAACCCTTAAGTAAAATAATTAAAAAGAAGAGCAAAAAAATTAAAGCGCCAGTGAGTGACCTTCAGTGTGTGTTGATTTTACATGCTTGTGTAATTTCTTATAAGAAAAAATCTCATCCTCTTTACTTTAGTCAACAAACTGTGTCATTCATTGTGAATATTTAATGTGGAAAATGTGAAAACAAGGCTGTTATCCTAATGTCAGATGTTAGAAATAGGGCGAGCCGATTAAATCGGCCGATTTTAGCCCGTTTGAGACTAATCGGTAATTGGCCAAATATAATTCGCCAATATATAATAATAATAATAATATAATAAGTAACAGTAACTGAAATACCTAATAATTATAGTCAAAGTGTCTTCTTATAAGTTACTCTTTACACAATAGTCATGTTTATTGTGTTGCAAATTATATTAATGAAACTATGGTCTTTTTTTGTTCAAATCTGATCGTGCTTCCAAACTTTTGGCCTGTAGTATATATATATATATATATATATATATATATATATATATATATATATATATATATAAAGACCACAGGGGTAGCCAAAGTGCTGTACATTGAGACATAAATACAAATAAAACAAGCAAAGAACAAGATAAAAACATGGACTGTATATAGAATGGACGCTGTCTGCCTTCATTGTTGGGTGAAGCCACTCCGAGAACAGCACCCTCTGTTGATGGGCTGCAGTATAGGTCATAAATCCCGCCTCCGCCAGCAAAGCTTGTGGAGCTGTGGACAAACTTTAGAAATTTATTACACAGGATGTCATTTTTTCTCTACCCCCCGTCGTGGTGTTTACCTGTAGTTACAGTAAGACTGGTTTGTGCTCAAGTCCTCTTTTTTCTGTAAAGCTGCGTTATTAAAAGTTATTAGGGTGTTCATGTTTTCTTTGATTGACACCTGATACAGCCTATGGGCATACAGGGATTGCGTAGCTGATCCAGGAGATACGCTGTTTGAGCCAAGCATCATCACAGCGACTCCCGGTGACTCTCCTGCCGAACAGTGCTACAGCACAATGCTGGTTTCAAGAAATGAAGAAAAATCCCGGACATACCGAGAGCTTTTTGGCTTCAAATCCATATACAGGCGGGAGGAGGAACCAAGTTGTCCATAGTAGATACAGTCTATGGTGCACACTCAAGGGAGAAAGTAAACTCCTTGCCAACATTACACTAGCTAGCAAGTTAAGCCTCTACTACATATCAGATAATTGAATGACAGCACTTACTGAACTATTCAATCTGTTGTTTGGTCTTCAAATATGATCAAGTTTCTCTGTACATTCAGCTTGATATGCAATTAAAAAGTCTCTGTCGTATATCATTCATTTTTACAATTACCCTAATTCATAGACTGTATCTTTAGCTTTGGCTGCCAGCCTCAGGTGGACACCTGCAGTTTGTACAGTTTTCAGTGTTGAGGTCACTGCTTGCCTTAAACACAACACTTTAAACAGCATCTCTACCACACACCCTGAGCATGGCGGAAGGGAATGTTTGGTCTGTCACTAAAGTCAACTCCCATTGAAAAATCTACTCCTGGCAGAGTATATAGAGGTAAATAAGTACTAAAACAAATGTTGCTGTCTTTATTTGAGTGAGTCATTGTAAAAACTCGATATTCAGGCCTCAGATTTGTTTGCTCTCCTCATCACAGCTCCTTTCAGCTCATTAAAGGCTGTATACAGTTTCTGCACGAAGCCCTGATGTTTCCCGCTTCCTCGCTGACTCACTGAGCATCATTACTGACTGCATGTTTTGTTTGATCCTCAGGCTCCTGGGTCGAGTTGGAGGAGCTAATCGCAGCCGTGAGCCGCAGGGAGAGTCTGACAGGGCCGCAGGACAGCATCTCCTCCGCCCTGCAGGGGGAGCTAGAGAGGATCCTTCTGGAGGCACAGCTCGAGTGTGAAAGGAATAGAGACAGGTAGGGTGCAGTTATTTTTCTTGCGCTGTGTTTTGTTTGGGGGATTGAACAGCACAGCAGGGTGTAAAAATAACATGCACAGTAATAAGTTTCCTCCTGCGCACAGCTAAAGTTTGCTTGTTTTTGGCAATATGTGTTTACTTTTTTTGTTAGTTTTCACAGAAGAGTGTATTTATGTGAAAAACGGCAGTCTGTTCGATTCTGGCTGACAAAATAAAACTGAGTGTCTTTTGTCTTCTACAGTCCTCCACAGGCTGTGACTCCACAGTCTACTGGATCCCCCAGAGCAACTAGTGAGCATGACAGCGACTATGTCCCCATACAGGTATTTATTCTCATAACAGTGAGATGAAGACGCATTCATATTTATCAAAAAAATATGATCTCTCTCTTTTGTTTAAAGGATTTGATTGTATTTCAAAGCACATGAACTGAAAGTCAGTAACATATCTACTCAGTTTTTATAAAATAATAAATATAAAACAAAAAAAGATAGAAGATGCAAATATGTCTGAACAGACTAGTTATAAATCGCATATATATTCAAACAAAATAGCATCACTTTAGGGAAATGATTTGATACTCCTCCTACAACCACTCAAACTTGTTTATCTGGAGCCTTAAAGACAAGTTGATCTTTTTCTTAACAAAGTTTGCATTAATTGTGTCATACTAGTCTTTACTCTGGCTTTTAGTTGAATTTAGTTTTAATCTTTCAATCTGCATTATGTGATTTTAGACTATTTTAGTCCCAGAGTAATTATTTTGTGTTTTATTTCTTTTTTTTATTTAATCTCATTTATTGTTTGATTTTAAGACTTTCATTAAATTAACTTTTAACGCGTATCACCTATATTATATTTTATCATGGTTTTATCATTTTAGTCTGAGATCCAGTGTCATTTTTTCCAGTGTCATCTTTTTTAACTCAGATAGTGTTTCCTCAGTCATCTGTGGAAGGTTGAAGAGTCCTGGTCTTTTATGTGTGCATCTGTGTGTGTGAGTGTGTGAGTGCTGTATGTGTTGAATAGGGGTTGGGAGTGTGGGTGTGGTTAGGTTTTTGTATTTTTATTTATTTTTTTCATTGTTTTTTTTTTTTTTAATATCCTGCATGAATGGACAGCACTTCGTGCTATATTCCATGTATGAAAAGTGCTTTAAAATTAAAGTTTGATTGATCGATTGATCGGGTTTCCAATGTTAGTCCCAAACAAAACTCACATTTGTACCAATAACATTCCTGAATCCTTTGTGTGTCTTACACCGTAAAGCATGAAACTTAAAAGGATCAAAACAACAGGAGCCACATTTTTTCCAGCAGCTGGAAAAGCTGAAGTGGTGAGATTTCTGAACAGGTGTAACAAGTATCTCATGAGACTCTTCCAGCCATGAAGTTGAGCTTGTTATCGTATACATGAATTCCCGATATTTTTCCAAGGCTTACTTTGAAACACGTATTGATTTCCTCTTCTTGTCGTTTTATGTAAGCAGTATTCTCTGAGATTATTCTAAACATAGACCTCACACTATAGGCTCTTAAAAACTTTTCATAGCTTCTTTTCAAACATGATCTGACTGAAACAGTGAGCTGTTGATTTACTGTGTATTAGTAGAAATCTTCAAACAGTGTTATTTAATTGGTATTTTCAGAGGAACTTCTGGTTTGTGTCAATCTTAGAGCCCCCTGTGGACAAAGTGATCCCCCTTATATCGTCCTGTGTATGAAAGTATTGTATTTAAATAGAAACCTTCACCTGTCGTCTTGTAACAGTAAAGTCTATCACTCAAAGTCAATAAGGCATTTTTTTAGGCTTCTGTCAACCACATGATCCGACACCTAAATTCAGAACTCCCTGAAATATTTACAAGAAGTATTTCAAATTAAAATTATGTTAAAGATGGATATCCTGATATGAGTTTTTTCTTTTTTTTTTTTCTTCTGTGTTTGCTTTGATTCCTTTTGCACATTTAACACATTCATTTTGTCATACTTTATGTGTTGCAGGAGGAGGTTGAGCGGCGAGGGGACACTGACTGGGTGTGGGATTGGTCCAGTAGACCTGAAAATATGCCACCGAAGTAAGATCAGCGCTTTAATTAATTCTCATTTGACATTAGCTTGAATGTGATGTGTAATTAAAATTAAGCATCTGAGTTTTTAGAGCATTTTGAGTGTTGTTGAGCAAATGCCCATGAGTTTTGAGTGTCACTTTTTCACAAGATCATCAAGAAAGCAGATGCAAGCATAGCTCAATGACTGAAGCAAAGGAAAAGCAGGTAGCCCAGCTCTAAATCGTACCAGGCTGAAGCTCATTTTTTTAACATTTTGTGTGTAGCAGATTAAATTTGTTGTATAAAAGCTGCCATATTTTGTTCTGAATGGAGTTACTCGCCGTCAAATTTCTTTCCCCCTGCAACCAGCGACAGCATTAGAGAAAGTTGCCACATAACTCCCCGGAAAAGCAGATTTATTCCTATTTGACTGAAGAAACATTTGGCATTGTTGTGTTTGGAGCTAGTTGAAAGGTAAAGTTTAGTTTTTTTCATCTCTTCAGCCTAACTCTGGCAGCATGTTAAAAATACAGCCTCAAATTCAGTTTGCGTATTTTCCCTTTGAGTGTTGAGAAACACATGAATCACCTTCACTTTTATTTACACTTCCACTCTTGACATTTCATCTTCTTCAACACTATAACTCAGTTTGACAGGTAGTAGCTTTTAATGGCCTCAGACTGTCTCCACTACCTTTTCATGCATTCTGACTTTCCTCTCCTGTGTTCTCATTATCTCGGGTTATTTTTTATTCCTCCTCTCCTCACCTTATCTGCATCTCTTCTCTCCTGCTCCTCGTATCCCTCTCGCTTGCTGCCTCTATTTTTTCCTACAGAGAGTTTGTGTTTCAACACCCGAAGCAGCAGAGCTCCCTCAGCGTTAGGAAGACAGAGGTGATGAAGAGAGGCCTCTTCTCCTCTGATGTTCTCCTCTTACTTGGTCCGTCACTGCTGGCTTCACACCTGCTCACACTTGGAGTCGGGTAAGACACATGCTCGTGCTCATGGAGTCATTTTTGAACGATTTATGCTCAGTAAATGTTTAAAAGCAACCCAACAACTGCTTAGCTTGTCAGGCTTTTCCTTTTCCTCAAAGTAGTTCATGGTGACACTAACGACAGACTGACAGCTTTATGGTCCTCGCACTTTTAAAAACATCTGGCATTTCATTTACAGAGGACATAAACAAAGGAATCTTGTCAGGTTTTGCTAGCAAGTAGTAAATTTCCTGACCAAAATAACAGATGATGATACATATTGGTGAATTTATTACTGTAGTAAGCTAACTAAGTTATGTCTAGTCCATAAATTTCAAAGTATTTTACAATGACTTATACCAGGGTGTACCAGCCAACCTTTCTTCTTAATCAGAACGCAAAATTTATGTTGGACACTGTTACTGGTCCACAATCAAGGTTTTATTCATTCAACCATGGGTTTTGGATTAATATGGGGTTAAAAGAAAGGATTAAGCTGCACTCTGGGGTGATTTTTCTTCTTTCTACATTCTTTTCATGAAGTAAGTTTAGAAGAAGTGAATGACTGACAAGTTTATTTTAAAAATTTTGAGTTTTAGGAGGTTGTCTTAGATCGAGCTAAGTTATTGGGCTTTGATTTAAGCTTGACAAAGTTGTCAAATTGTGCAGTGAAAGTTCTTTTGAGGAGACAAAAATTCTCAGTGATGCGTCTTTATGAGTTGTAAAAGCAAACCAGACTGTCAGTGACAAAATTGAAATGTTCTGTATTTTAATTTTCAATGGCTGTGCTGTGACACCTCCAAGAGGGGTAGCTGTCAGACCAGACAACTGACAGCAGGATGAAGAAACAACCTTCTTATGCACGGCAAATATCATTTCAGTGAAATGTTTGTTTACAGAAAGCAGGATGAGATTTTGTGTCAAACACGTCAACAAATCTTGCACAAAGAGTCTGAACATATTGACACACTCTTTCTCACTATGTTTAGTCACCTATTTTATAAAGACATTTTCAGGCGTTTTTGCCTCTTATAGATGAGGGAGTGACAGCAACAAGGGGTATGTGACTAAACTGCACGACAAACCAGCGCCCGATGACAGAACATTTCTCCCATTGATTATGAAAAGTGATCTTATCTCATTTATCTCATCAATAAAGAAAAAAAAGTAAACAGCATTAGATTTGGGCTGCTGGAAATACATTTGAGGCCTTTCTATGTTGTCTATGTGCGGGGAAACATGAAGCAAAATCCAAAACCTAAGGACACTCTAACCCTGAATTTCCACCGCATCTGGAACGGCCCCGATTTGGAGCGAAGGTGTTTTTCGCCGTACGCCAATTCCTACCAGATTCATTTGTGAGGCGAATTTTGGTGGGTTACAGACAGTGGGAATTGCAAAAAACCACAAGAACCCGCAGATTGACATGCAATCGTGCGTTAACGAGTTGTCTCTTTAAAGACAGCCACATAACCATATGAGCAGTAGATTGTGTCCTTTCAGAGGAGGAAATCCACTTCTAGACTTCCAGTATCAGCATCTTCTCATCCATGGTGTCATCAGGGTGAAATGCTGTCTAAAAACCTTTCACTTGTTCGTCCCCGCTCGTTTGCATGGTGTGAAATACGATCCCCCGGAACATGGAGTGTTTTATTTTGAAAAGAAGCCGGATGTTTTATTCTGTGTCTGGGCCTGACTTCCTTTCCAGCACAGGTTAATCTGTGCTGAATTTATCCAGCATGCTCCAGCGTCCGGAAAAAATAGAGCTCTTGCGATTAGCTGCAGAGTCCGGCGAGTCGCAGTGGAACAGAAAGAAACCAATGGAAATTGACACATTAACTTCAATGTTTACAATCAGCTATGATCGGCAGATATGGCCTTTTTTTGAGCCGTTCCGGATGCGGTGGAAATTGGGGGTAAGAAAGGTTACAGCTGCTCAGATATGAGTGGAAAACTGAGGTAAGCATTTAAGCGTACTGTCACCTACAATTTACCTCTTTCTCTTTTTCAGGATCTACATAGGAAAGCGATTGGCTGCTTCAACAACTAGCACGCTGTGACGTTGGCTGTAGCACATCCCCTCCATTCACTCAGAGTCTGACCAGTAAGGTCACAGTCTGCCCTCTCCACTGCAATTACTTGCCTCCCTATTTCCTCCTCACTGGGGCAACCTTAGGACCCCGCCTGTCTGTCCCCCTGTCTCCACGTTCATCTGTCTTTCTGTCAGTCTGTGCATGTCGTAGGGCTCCGGGAGCGGATGGATGCCGACCAATGAGTCAGACTGAGGTCACTTTTACTCTCCCGGGGAGTAACACTGATCTCAACCAGCTACAGCCAAATCAGAGAAGAGAGATTGCCCAGATATAAGAGAAAGAAGAGGGAGAGAGAGAGAGAGTTTCACCCAGCTAGAACAATAAATCCTTTGATAGGAGGAGATAAAAACGGTTCGTTGAGAACAGTGTGTTCGGCAAAATGAAAAAGATAATATGTGGTAGCCTTTTCGCCCCAACCTTTGAAAAAGCAAAATGTCTGTCATTTGTCAAAAGTAATGACCCTCTGTACGACTGAGCTGCTAAAAGTGGTACTTGGGCTTTTGTTCTGGTCTGATGGTGTATCTAATGTAGAGTTTTAGTTGGCTGAGTGAATGTAGGAACAGCTCTGGTTGTGCTTTTTGTCCCACAAACTGATTAAATATTTGACCTCCGACAAAGACAATCACAATCCCATTAAACTTCACTCCTCGAAACTTTAATGTGCCTCTTGGGTCTTTTGTTTTCTCTTCCAGATTCATCCGGGCCACACATGTTCATCTCATTTATTAAATTCTAGGAAAGAGAAGTGTTTCCAGATAGCAAAGCACAAAGATTTGCTGAAGCAGGCTTAGACCTGTAACCGATACTGTTTGTGGACATTGTATTTTTAGACTTTGGGGAACGTTCGTTGGATATCACTTGCAGGTATTCATATAAAACCAGAGGAAAAGACGACCCACTGTGTTGCTAACTGCTTGCAAATGAACCAAAACATCTGTTAGAAATTTATTCCCCTGTCTATCTGAGGTAAATCACTCCAGGGACTTGTCTGATAAGCCCTTTGGCGTATTTGGGGCCTTTTTTTTTTTCTAACCAGCAGCCATGACTTTTACAGAAATGTTATGACATCACACCAGCCTGTTTCTTTCCATCTGCCTTTGTCATTCCTTACCTCACACAAGCCTTTCTTTTCTTTTAACAAGCTGCCTCTGACCAGTCAACGATTTGACATTTTATTGCCTTCCCGTAAACTAGAAAGCCGTTTCCTCTTTACATCTCATGAAAATAGCTGGCCTGGATTGAGAACTCTGAGACTGAAACGCACAGTGACGGCTTTGCGGTGCTGCCTTGAACATAAACGTGCCCATTTGTTGTCCGGCCCGGCTGTGCCCAACATGTTTATCAGCCATTAGCGGGGTGTTTGATGTGAGGGGTCCCGCTGAGCTCGTTAAGCTACTCCTAGACACGCCGAGCTGACAGTGCAACAACAAGAGCACAAAAGCACCTGGTTCTCATTCACACAAACACACCCACATGCACACAAAAAGAGTATGCCCAGTGACTGCCGCATGTTTTGGCATCACGTTGACACAAAGAGCACAAGGAAGGGGTTTGTGAGTATACGAGGTTAAGAAATGTCCAATTATCACTCTTGTTCCAAAGTTATAAGTTGGGGCATTTCAAAACGTGTAATGGGTCTAAAAAACTTTTTCAAGCTATAATACAACAAAAGAATTGGGTGAAAATAAGTCAAAATGTACAGCATTATGTGGCATTAATCATAATCTTATGATGAAACATAATGACTTTAATAATAACTGGTTAAAATGTCTCCTTATGTGACTATGTCCAATGTTTAGTTTAGCTGACATTAACTTTGCCTGAAGTGAGATACGGTCAGACCCTCTGTCTGCAACCAAATCACCAAAGCTCGTTCCACTCACCTCTGCTGGTCACTTTTTTTCTGGTCACTGAAGAGATAAAGAGTCTTTATGTTTTCCAAAGCCCACCGCTGCTTCTGAGAAGAAGAAGAACTTTATTGATCCCCGAAGGCAAATTCAATTGTCTGTAGTCTTGTGTCATGTCTCAAGTTATCTACTATTTACAGAAGAATCATAAAGTCTGATTACTGTGCGTACATAAGATCTTCTGAATCTTTCTGTCCTGAAAAAAGCATGATTACATCTTAAATGGCAGTAAAAAGTAGACTGAATTCTTCTCGGAGTGCCATTTCATGGATACATCTCTAAAACACAGTAAAATACTGCTCTATGAAATTGAACTAGTAAGGGTCCCATGTGGGTTAAGGATGCAGCCCACTTTTCACCTAACCAGAAAGGTGTGTCTCATGCACCGAATCCTTAAACAGTGTGTCTGATAAGACTGAACGATATGGACACAAATTCATATCTCGATATTCACGCCAGATATATAGATACGATATGATAGGATAGGGTTCAGTGAAAATTATGTATTTTTTAGGTAAATAAAAACATCACAATACAAATACAAAGGATGTGAAAAGAACAGTTTTATTGATTAGACCTTAAGGAAAGTCTGTATAATTTATCACTGATTTTACGATACTCTCTTGAATGTTAATATTTTCATTTAGATACTTTCAACCCTAGTGTCTGTGCAGCTGTAAAGCTCTTGCTAGAACCATTTCATTTTGGTCTTACCCCATGGAAAGATTGTAATCCTGATAGTAACAGGTGAGATAGTTCGGGTAGTGATAACAGTTGTTGGGTATGGATCCACTACAAGAGACAAACTGGTCAAGACTCTCACCGCCCACATTCTGTGGTCAGTTGTTGTCTTGTTGTCAAATCAGCTCTCTGTACGTTTGATACACTTAAAGGGATATTCCGGTGTAAAATTAAGTAAGGTTCAAACACACTGTAACACTGAGTTAGACTCCCGTCCCCATTTGCACGGAGACCTCGGGCGAGTCCATCAACTGCAACGGGGTGATGATATTTGCAAAATAATTAATATGGTGATTGTAACTTTAAGGAAATGATAAAGTAATGATCAAATCAAATCAAACTTTATTTATATAGCACTTTTCAGGCAAAAAGAAATGCAGCACAAAGTGCTTTACAATTTAAAACCATGAGCCCCCCCATATCCATACCGCCACCCCACCCCCCCAACCCTCACCGAGAGCCCACCCCAACACACACACACACACACACACACACACACACACACACACACACACACACACACACACACACAGATAATGCAATCTTAAAAGCGTGTGGTCATAAATGTTCTTCCTTGGGCTGCATCACCCCACTGCAGTCGATGGACTCGCCCGAGGTCTCCGTAGAATCAAGCGGCTGCTGGAAGAGAGTAGGTGAGTTGTGTTTAGTTTCTTTGCTAAAGAAATTAGGCAAAGCTAAAAAGATGTTTGGTGGCTAGTACTATGGCTGGGACCCTATATGTACTGTTGATGAAGTTAGGTGCTGTTCTGAGCATTATTTGTGTCTATAGAGTGGCATTTTGGTTGAGCGCGTGGCTCTCTGTATTGCTATCATGCGGTTGTTACTAAAGTCGGTATAACTAGAGAAGCAACAGTCATCTCTCGAGGGGTTTTCCAACCCAGTGTTACGGTGTGTTTGACCCTAAATTAATTTTACGCCAGAATATCCCTTTAAAGAGCCCACTGGTATCTTTAAATGTCTAAATGTGGCCATATAAGGAAGAACAACTGTTCTGCCAGCCTGGTGGCAGGTGTCTTCTCTATAATGATGGGCTCTTGGTCAAATGATGTCCACTACTGTTCAGCATTTGCTTTCTTTCCTTTTTCGTCATGCTCTTAATATTCGCTAATGTTCACTTGGGTTAGCCACAAGTGGATCTTTGAAGTTAAAAAGAGCAGAATGAGACAAACTGCATTCACATGCCATGGTGATAATTAGACTGGAAGTGGTAGTAAAACAGCCGGGAGCATGACAAACACAAAGGCACTTATTAGGAGGTGAACTAATCCTTAATCCAACCACAACTTGCGACCATGGAAACAGTAAACAAAGATTGGTACTCTGGACTTGAGTTTTGTGACTTAAACCAAACTAATTCTTTGTTTTCACCAACCAACAAAGGGACTAAAAGCAGATAATCCAGATAAACTGTTTGCTTGATCACAACTTGTCTAATTGTTATTTTGCCTCTTCGGAGCTTTGTGACTCTTCCTGCTTTCACACAAAAGAGCACGAAAAGCCACGAAAATGAACCAGAATTATCCTTTAAGGAGTGAATGTGAGCTTGTGGATTGTCCTAGATTCAACCCCCCACTAGAACCATTTATCCTGAGCTTGGGGCAAACAGGCAGTCACAGCTGGGACAGGCCGCTGTAAATCACCATGTTCTTACACGGTTATATCCCCTGTTTGCTGTGAACCACCGTGACTTTTCCTAGCAGGGGGACAGCGTTAAGATCTGTCTACCCTGTAATATCCTTCCTTAAAAAGGGCATTTAGTAAAGTGAACAGCCTCACATGCCACATGTGATTTTTCCCAGCAGAAGACTCGTGATAAAAGGTTTAAAAAGAAAAAAAAGAGTATGAGGAATTCATGTTACGAAAGAAAATGTACATCCTCTCCTCATACGTTGATTCTTGGATCTGTTGAAGGTGGAGGAGACAGACACCGAGACACAATGTGGAAGAGATATCTATTCATTTCCTGAGCTGAGCTGTAGAGATCAGACATGTGTCTCTCTGGGAAAAGCATTATCTTCCCGCGCCTATACTGCAAGACAGGAAATATAGAGTCCAGTTTCAAAGGGTTTGGATGCAACAAAGAAATTCAGTCAAATTGGCACCAAAACTGTGCCATAGCATTCATACAAGGTCACTAATTCGAATCCTCCATCTCGAATAACTTCACTTTACCACATGTGGCCCCTTCCCTCTCGTGAACCTCTTATTATAAGGAATTGTAGATTTTAATTCGACAGAACCGAATGATGTACTCCCTCTCGAATGTCAGACAAACACACAACTTCCCAAACCAGCACACTCCTACGCAAGTTTTTGATCCCAGTCTGTGGGTTTTAATAGTTACACTGATGTGTATTAAATACATCTGTCTCATTTATTAGAAATGTGTTACAAAGAGCAGTTTTTAGGGGGTTAAGCTGAGTCTCTGTAGATGTGGTTTGAAAAAGTTAAGCACAAAGAAACCCCTCTCAGTCAAAGATTCATGCACTTTTTAAACTCTGCCTTTCTTTACAATTTGACTGTCTGAATAAATGACCCTGTGTGCTCCGTGCTATGTGCTGTTTCCCACTGTATGGCGGACCCTGCCAGTCCAGACACGCTCGCTCTCAATGTGCCAGAACTATGAAGGATTAATGAGAGCACCTGGAGTAGGACTCAATGGAGAACAATGCCGTGCTGTTCCTGCTAAGTAAACCAGCTGCTCACCGTCGTGTAGCTGTGTTTTGTCCTCACATCCTGAAGAAGTTCTTTGATGATGTTTTTGCTTTAAAAAGGCTTTTCTGAGCATGACGGTGAAATAAAACTTTTGGGTTTTTTTTCATGAAAGTGCACTTGAGTTTATGACAAAGTAAAAACAAGAACAAAGCTGCCGTGCTTCATTACGACTGCATATCAGATTAAATATGCAAGACTCCAACCCGAACACACACCTTTTAGACTTCAGAAATTTAAATGGGTGTGTCTGACAATTCAGAGGTTTTCCAAAACTTACAATCCAACATTAACGCTCCCTCCACTGACAGAGCCTCCTTTAAGTTTACCCCTCAAGCTTTCTATCCCACATTCA